TGCTTGAACAAGAATCTGACATGACGTCAGAATATGTCTCATCATAGTATGAGAATAATGGAACAAAAATGGCTTTGGAAAACAATATCCCTTAGGAATTACTTATTTTATTTGATTATATATATCCTCAAATATCGATTATAGATCGAATACTAATAGAAATCTATATTTATTCAAAGCCTGAATGTATCTAAGATCATCTTTTCCAGACCCAGGCGCATCACAAAGTCCTTCATCAGTTATATACGAAGACAGCCTGTGGAACACCCGTCGTTCCACTATCAACATCCGCGACCGGGCGCGATTATCATGCGGGGGCTCCCTCGGCCCCGGATCCGCCCTATCGTCCCCCGGACGCCCCGCCTGCTCCTGCTTCGTGCCCCAAAAGGACCACCATTCAGCTCCAGCCGTGACATTTTGTGACGACTGACGCTAACATCCCTAGCCCCTCGGATCTATGTGTTCTCGTGTGTGGAGGGAACCTTTGTGTATCGACCAGCTCCAATTTAGACTTAAATAGCTTTAACGCTACAAACAGGGTGAGTTCCTTTGACGATATCAATGAGAGGACTAGGAAACTTAATGCTATGAGACGTTTGTATTGTTTAGATGATTTTAATTTGTAATTGATTTTTTTATTATTATTAACGTTTTTATTTACAATCAAGTAAGTATACAGTATTTGCAATTTTCTTAACCTACAAAGTAATAATAAAAATTATTAAATAATTGAAATAATTTAATTTGTAAATCACAGTTTAACTGATCTATTTGTCAAATAATACATAAGTGCGAAAGTACAGTCTTTTTGAAGACCTGTCAAAATTTTCACGGTATTTGGTATGGATACTAGAATCTGCAGTGAGCAGTGTTGGCCTAGTGGATTCAGCGTGCGACTCTCATACCTGAGGTCGTAGGTTCGATCCCCGGCTGTGCACCAATGGAATTTCTTTCTATGTGCGCATTTAACATTTGCTCGAACGGTGAAGGAAAACATCGTGAGGAAACCGACATGTCTTAGACCCAAAAAGTCGACGGCGTGTGTCAGGCATTGGAGGCTGATTAACTACTTGCCTATTAAATTTAAAAATGATCATGAAACAGATTCAGAAATCTGAGGCCAAGACCTAAAGAGGTTGTAGCGCCACTGATTTATTTTAATTTTACTAGAATCTGCATCCAAAATTGTTTGCATCTATTTCAAAGCGAGATGTGTATTTAGTTATGAGAATGCAGTTTCAATTTATGTTACAAATATAGTTTTAAAATTGCATTGGGATTTTCAAGGCTGTTTTTGTGTAGGAAGTATGTATTCTGTAAGTAAATAAATGTAGTAACCAAACAGTATACCCAATATTTAAAAACTGTGCTCAATATATCTATTAAATGTGATTATATAATAAATTACCTATTTACAAATTCAGTTCCACTTTTAGTCAAGTATACTTGGTAATATGTAGTTAAATTATCTAATATGTGTTCCTATAATCGATGAATGTACTTATTAAAACAATAAGGCCATTAAAAAAGTATATTGGTGGTTAAATTGAAATTCGTATTTGACATTTACTATATTATATTCTTAATACGTTGCTATGGCAACCGTGTATGTAGGTATAAGTGACGATTATAGGAACAAGAAATAAATGTTTGATGTTTGTGATTTCAGGACTATGTCCTTAGCCTAGTCAGTCTGTCCGTCCGTCAGACACGGACCTAACTAATTAAATGTTATACACTATACAAATTATACAGTATAATTATAGATATAAGGTGTACATTCGATAATCATTTTGATGGTAATGTAAGTTCCCTGTTTTGTATTTTTTGCTTGACTAAATACTGACTAATTTTGATATGTTCAAAAAATTTAATTATATAAAATGCCAATTTTGGAGTACCTATCATATGATTTATGATTAAAATTATAACGGAAACAAATGTTTAGTAATATTTTTTTTTATTGCCGAAAACTGAAAAATTTACAAAATATGTAGTCCAATTCCATGTGTTAGATTAACTACATTTGACTGTATTCGATTTATAAATAGAATTAAGTGAAATGTCTACAACTGAATGTTTAAAATGTATGTTGTTTGTTATAATAAATGAATAAAACATATGGTTTTTAATATATCCAACCTATTATGTTTATTACCTTCTTGTGCCTATATAAAAATAGGTTTAAATAACAATAATAATCAGTAATGACGAAATCGTAATCAATCATCACTCAGTACATACAATTCAGCGTTTGACAGCTCGAACCTCTCAACCTTTCAATTATTATTTTGAAGTGAAACTTCTTAAGGTGCACGAAGATGTGCAGCATTTTTGTCGAAGAAAAGGGAGAGAGCGATTGAGGCCGAGTGAGAGAGAGTGAGAAAGGGCGAACGTAGTATGAAGAAAATAGCCATGGAGCGGGAGTAGGGAGCAAGTAAGTGAGAAAGATCGAGAGAGAGAGAGTGAGATAGAGCGAACGTCGCATAACGCACAGTACCATGGAGCGAGAGGTGAGAGAAAGCTATATGACGCATGGCCAGCCATCGGCTGGCAATCAATTATGATAATAAATAAGAAACCAAACAATAAACCATGATCAGCAAGGAGTGGTGAATAGGAGCATGCACTTACATTTCCGTGGCAAAATAATAAAAAATATATTTATTAAAATTTATTTTCTGTTTTTTAGTTTAGTTTTATATATTAAGCGTGTGTTCTGGTTTTTTTAAACTATTATTTATTTTTTATTTTTTAGTTAATTTTATTTTTTTTCATTTTTTTTTTCGGATTATTGCATTGTCATCGATCTTTGAGGTCAGGTGCGCAAAGTTTGAATTAAATCTGTCCGTTAAAAGTGAGTCAAAATCGAGCGAAGAAGGAGTCGGTTACATACATACATACAGGTGAAGCTAATATAAAGCGTATAATGAAGTAAGTACTAAGTAGTGACAATGCGAAGTAAAGAAAACATGTTCTGACATGATGGCAGGGAGTGGGGTGATAGTAGCATGCAAATCAGTTGTAAACGAAATGGCCGACTATTATATTCGAAACATGTCTTTTAGGAATTTTTAATTCTATATTATTATATGCTAATATTTACATTATACATTAAGTACCTACTGGTCATTGTTATTTACTGTGCAAGCGTTTAATTCCATAACGCTTTGGGTTCAAACTCAACATAACTTTATTCATATAGGTTGCTCGATAGACGAAAAATATGGCACAGAGCGCCCCACGCTTTTTCACAATAATACCAGTATTTTTTGTTCATTACCATTTTCAGCCTAAATTAGGAATTATTTACATTATTCTTAATTAATATTTATTTTCTGTTTTTTAGTTTAGTTTTCTATATAAAGCGTGTGTTCTAGTTTTTATAAACTATTATTTATTTATCATTTATGATTTAACACACTCGCAGTGTTTTGAGACAGAGCACCTGATCATCAATAGGTCACAAATCACAATTGTTAATAGAATCTCAAAAAAATAGCATAAGAGATGACGTTGACTTGTGTTTGAGAGTATCGAGTTCTTGCTTGCTTAGTCTTTATTGTTTTGTTTGTTAATGCATAAAGTAATGTCGTTTAATAAATATATATCATAGATATTTTGTTTTAGCTAGTAGTTAACTCTATATTTTTACAATTATATACATTTTATTTATTTCCGCGGGTTTATAGTTGAAACTTTCAAACATATTGTCATCCATCAAGGTATTAGCAATTAAGCATATATAATATATTACCTACATAGTACCCATGCGGCATATTATGCATAATACGCTCCCTTACAAGTGTAAGTAGGTATATCAATAGTAAATAGTTAAATACACAGACCACAGTAATCAGTATATTTAAAGTTTTGTATTTGTACTGTGAAGATTGTACAAAATACAAATAGTGAATAATTAATATTAATTCATATAAATTTATAAACCCTGTAAAGGGTATCAAAAATTGAGTTAGACTCATTTGAGTGTTCCCCTCCACGGAAATCTTTAGTAAAAGGCGAAAGATTTATACGTTTTGAAGGGAAACCAGAGTATCGAATTTAAGTCTAGGAAACCTTATGTATGAATTAGCTGTTAACTTAATACCGCGTTTTAAATACACAACAGCGCCATCTATTGATGGAGTTTGATGTTACAAACACGCCTGGTTCTAACTGCCTCTGTAGGGGCCTCATAGCCTAGCGGTCTTATTAAGTGGTGAGGGGTACCGGGTTCGATTCCAATGCCAATTTTGAATTATCATATGATTTTTTAACTCGGAAGCTATAATTTAGCGTTGAATATTAGCGGTTTTATTATGATTCCATTATTAAAATTATTACGCAAACAAATAATGTTTAGTAGGTACAAAGAAAAGTATTAGGTAAAACTTTTCTTTGGCACCGAAAACTTTGCAAAATTTACAAAAAAGTCCAACTTCATGTGTTAAAGATCAATTAAATTTGACTGTATTCAATTTAAATAGAATTAAGTGAAATGTCTACAACTGAATGTTTAAAATGTATGTTGTATGTTATAATCAATTAATATAAAATATGGTTTTTATTAATAATCCAGCCAACATATTATGTTTAGAACCTCCTTGTGCCTATATGAAAATGGGTTTAAATAATAATAATAAACAGTACTCGTCATGTTATTGTAACACACATCACTTTGTAAGACATACTTCAAATATTAGATAACTACAAGTATTTGATGATTTATTTTTATGTTTATTTAGTATTCCTACATGACTACTATTTGCTAGATTGTTTAATTTGAATAGTAGTTACATTGTCTTTAGACCTCAATATGAAGGGATATTTTTTAATCAATGTTTTAAGTAGTGTTGCATTAATGGTGATGACATACATACAGATACTGCCAACATGTACCTACCTAAACTGTGTTTTCTTATGCTAAATAGATGAAATAAAAACTTTAGCTTACAAATATCATGTATTATCTATCTTAACTAATACTATGTACAATCACATTATTTCTTAAGGCCTCTTAAACGTAGCTCCAACTCCAAATAGGCTCTCATTGAAGGATCATCCACCATTTTTATTATTCTTTCTGCAATATCTGGTCCAGCATGTTCCATTTTTTTAGAAAGCGCATCAGCCCATACTATGAATACACAATTAGCACAACCAGATTGACAACAGGCTGTTGGAGGTTCATCTATAGAAGCCTGTAATGTAAATATTAGCCATGAAATGATCTAATTTCTATTAATATTAACTAAGACATGTAAGAAAGTAACTTCTTCTCATGGGCCAGACACAGATGTATATACTACTCAGCCATAGGTTAGTTGAACTTAGGCATATTACGTCCACAAAGGTACTTATAGAGCAAATATGAAAATGCTTAAGTTTTATTAAAATACTATTAAATTGATGTTAGTTAAACAAAAGATATATGAGAAAAGGACCATCTTAGTAACTTCATTTTATGATTTATACTCATATATACTGATTGCATGACTTCAAAATAATAATCAGCTATTGATAGGTAGATATGATATTAATCTGTTATTGCATAATAATATAGAACTTTTCTCATTACATTGGCTTTTATTCTTTCGATTTCTCGCTCCTTCTCTTCATCTTGCTCATTAGAGGTTGTGCAATATCGACTATATTTCTGACATAGCGGCAATCGGGTAAGGAGAATTACATTATGTTTGCAGACAGTATTGAGTATGCTATTGATTAAATATTTAATTTTCTGGAAAGCAGAAACATTTAATTAGAACCTACAAAGATAAAGTATTTAATTAATTCATGTAATAGGATACTCACAAGCATAATTTTAAGAGCATTTTTAATAAGTTCTAGGTGAAAATAAATACAAATAAAATACAAATTTTATGTAATCAAAAAATAAAACAGCTGTTTATTGTTATTAATCTAATCATTAATGACGTTTACTTTAGCATCTAACATTTAAAGATTGAAGTGTGCAGTGTGCTGTTTGAGCTGTTTTGAATAATTATTTTGATCTACAAAATACAAATTATAGTAAGTTGACGCCTGACGGTACCACAATAGCCATTAGCCACAGAAATTACAGTTCAATCCTCAGTCTGTAATCTGTATTTTATAGCCTATGGTAACGAGACAGTAATCTGTAATAGTTCTTATCCATAGAGTACAATAATATAATGTCATAGACATAAATAAATCGAGAGGATGTTGTTTTCGTTAGTGATGCTCCCTCTGAAGAGGGTGTAGACTGTAGCGTATCGTAGATACGCATTAAAAATGTACATATATTGTGTAGTATTTTCTATAAGATGTTGATGTATGTGGCAACATAAATATATGACACTAAGAAAAGAAGAATACAGAAGTCACTCAGAACAGACTTTTAAGACGAGTGAATATCTATGTTTTTTTCCTTGAGCGTTTCTGTAAGAATATAAATTAATTACTGTTGTTTGTGAAGAATAAACCAATTAACAGAGATACAAATGGGTTGTGATTTATAACAAGATCGAACGTCCTATAACTTATTAGAGTGTTAGTCCGGTCAATTTAGACATGCGAAGGTGCATAAAATCCCAACAAGCTGAAAATCAGTAAAATTGTTCAAAAAATAATATTTAAAGCTTCCCCATCATTTTTTCCATACACGGGTATGGAACATTTTTTATTCAAGATCAAAGGTAAAAAAAAATAGTTTTTCGCGATTTTCAGCAAAACGGTAAGTTATATCATAAAAGTACTTCAAACAACAATTTTTGATCATAAAAAAATATATCAATACTTTTTTCCTACGAGCCACCGTTTCTCTTAATTAAGTTAATTCTTTCATTTAAATTAATAATTATATTATAATATTGTAATAATGAAATGTTCTGGTATTCAAAAGTTTTAAAATAATTGCCTAATCTGTTCATTGCAACACAATTTTGAGCTTTTAAATTTTGATGGATCATTTTTTTTTTAACTCATTTCATTTTTTTAAATTCATTTTCATTGATTTTCCGATATCATTCAAGTCCGATTGTGGGATTCCGATAATTTAATACTTTATATCACATCACTACACGAGTCACGACTACGGACCGGAAGCGTTGTGCACGTCAGTCATTCATTTTTGATCTAAAGATTTTTACAAACTAAGTAATTTTCCTATTAATTTTATTTCGATTTCAAGTTGTTTGAGAGACGCTAAAAACCGGGTGCTACAAATATATTGTGAATATTGCTTTTGCATTTACGTCTTATTTTTAAGGTAGGTTTACCGGCTTGGGTGACTCCCACTTCGATTATACTAACATTGGAATGACGAAGCCGATAATTTTTCTTATTGTTAAATGCATGCACGATGGATATTAATATCTTTGTATCACTGGCGCTCCAGTATCGTAATATTCGTGGCTATATTAAACGTTGAAAGATAAGGGCGTTTCCATGAATTGCAGTCCAACATTGCCGTCGTGATTTTTATCGTATTATGAATCACGAATTTTACAATTGGTTATTGATTATCATAAATATATGCCTTACTTATTTGAATACAAATGTAAAATTGTTATGTGTGCTGTATGGTTCATAATGAGAGGAAGTAGTTCCAGTTATAGATAGTGGTTTATGACAATAAAATCGAAGCATTGGTTATCTCGCATTATATCGTAAACTTCTTGGTCCCTGGATAATTATATCTTATTAAATTTTCATATCAATATTACGTTCACGTTTCTTATTACACAGAGTTTTGATGGTTTAAGCTTTAATCTTTTCAGCATACTAAGACTTATCTCAGGTTAAGATTTAGAGTTGACTTGGCAGAAACATTGAATGTATGTTAAAAACGTTATATTTAGTCTACAATACATGTTTGACATTCAAGAGAGTAAGTGTGAGTGTGCAAGAAGTCAACAAACAAACTACAAATTTGAATCTTACCCTCAAGTTTTTCTAATAGAAACATTGTTAGAATTTGCCACTCTTCGTTACCACACACTCGGTAACATCTTAATGTGTAAAGCCTATAATTTTTAAAGCTGACTTTGCAATAATTAAAAAACTCAACATGTTTGAAGTAATCAAAGATTAAGCGTAAAAAAATTATCATCCCACAGGCAATATATGAAAAAAAAAATTGAACTAACTAATATGATGTAATATCTATTGCCTATATAAAATATTATTTTGTTTGTAATATATGTTAACACTGAGTCTGAGGGAAGAAAACCATTGTGGGATTTGAGATTGCAGGAGTGCTTAATTACTTTTTTGTGTCATGATAATTATATAAAATGTACCAAATAAGATTTATAATAGCTGCTTCTCTTTCGCAATTAATATTTTATCTGTATTACATAGTTTAATTCTCAAGTTGCTATTGTAGAAACTAACATGTCTGGAGAACCTGATGTTGCTCGTACTCCAGAGGAGGAAACTGAGGAAGAAATCAAATCCTCTTACAAACCACCTCCAGAGAAGACCATAGAGGAGATCCTTGCTGCTGACCAGGAAGATGAGTCTTTACGGAAGTATAAAGAGGCATTGTTGGGACAGGTGCAGGCTGGACCTATTATCGTTGGTAAGTAATACTTACCATTTCTATGTATCAGTTTAATTTATGTAATAAACCTATCTTTGGTCATGTTAAACAATTAGTTTAGTGTTTTTCTCTTTATGATTTAAGAATTAGTTTAATGTGCTTTTGTGATTTATTCTATGATTTTTATTATTACCAGTAGATATTTAATTTGCTTTTGTTCTTTTTATTTTATTGTAACTGATTCCTTAACATGGCTAGAAACTGTAAACCAACACTTCTTCATAGTAATTTTCTAATGATGGAGCAATAGCTGAGCATCTCCCTCTCCAAGGCTTGGTAACACTAGTGTATACCATAATGTTTTCATACTTCTGACTCTGAGGAATAAATGTTTGGTTTTCATATAACTTATGATCCTAGATTTGCGTCCAAGTTGGGTTGGGTTGGCGCTGTGCTACTCTACGGCGTAGTATCTTGGATGTTGACAGAGACTATGTCCAAAAAACATAATCTGGGTTTATCGACGTATGCTTAAAATATCTTGGACAGACCGCATACGAAATACAACCGTGCTGGACAGAACGCAGAAGATTAAATAAGTGCTTATGACGGTTAAGAATAGGAAACTTGAGTATTTCGGACACGTTTTACTTAACTCCAAAAAATATGAGCTCCTTCAACTAATCATACAAGGCAAAGTGGCAGGTAGAATGAGACCTGGCCGCAGACGCTCGTCCTGGTTGAGAAACTTGAGACAGTGGTTTGGTCAAAGCACCAAGTCATTGTTTAGAAGCGCGTCATCCTAAATCAAACTAGCCATGATGATCGCCAACCTTCGCAAGGAGATGGCACTATGAGAAGAAGTTGGGTTGGAGGCATAGATAACTTCTGAAATAAAACAGGAAATTCAGTCAGACAAATATTACAGATTAAGAAATGAGGACGGAGATGCAGAAATGTATCTGCCCCATACCCTTCATAATTTTTCCATGATTATCAATTAAGTACTATGCAACTGAACTGGAATTTAGATTATTATAGATTTAAAGGAAAACCATTTGAATGAAAACATTTACTAGACAATTGTATAGTCTAACATTGGTTGTTATCAATTGCGACAACCGCAGGACACATCTCTATGTATCTAATCTAATCACACATGTCTGAATGGCATATTTATTTACAGTTGTAAACAATAATTTAAAATACATATAATGAATTAGAAATGGAGGAATGATACTACTACTAGTGTATAGGGTTTGACTAGTAGTAGTAGCATTTCAACCACGGAAGGTACTTTACATTTTATGTTCTTAGGGAAACTTCTAGGTTTTAACAGAAAAATATTGTTAAAAGAAATTATTATAATTCACTATGTACATAAGTTTAGTCATGGCATTATTTCCCACATTTCTGTGAATTAATTTAATTCCAATATTTTTTCATTAAAATTCATTTATTGGACGCATAGTAATTCAGAATTGCATTACAATTGCAGACGCTAATGACCCACGGAAAGTGATTGTCAAAAAGCTGGCGCTGTGCGTTGCTGAACGTGATGACTTAGAGCTAGACCTCTCTGGAGACCTAACTGATCTCAAAAAACAGGTTAGTATTTTAAATATACTAATATAAAACTAACATTCTATGCAAACTAAAAAAAAATATTTTATTTTATTGATATATTGGATTTTAAAACAGACCAAAGAGATCGGACCTCATACAGGATACAGCATACAAATACTATGCAACACATATTTCTAAAAGCATCTATATATTATAAATGACAACTAAGTGACATAGTATTGTCTTTTATTGACATAACTTTTAGACATAGAAACACTTTTTTAACTTTGGTTAAATTTAAAATTAAAAAAAATAATTGTAAATTTATAATAAAACATAACTTCAAATCCGTTAAGAAAGTGTTTAACAAAGTGACAATTCTTTTTTTCTAAAGACGTCAAATTTCCCAACTAAGAAAAGTTTGATTAGAAAATTCTCTTCCCTGATCTTCCACATATATTTCTAGATCATTAGCCAAATCGGTCCAGCCGTTCTCAAGTTTTAGCGAGACTAACGAACAACAATTCATTTTTATATATATATATAGATAGATTGCAATACATCTATCTACAAATCACTACTTTTTAAGTTGCCGTAATTAGTTAAAACTGCGGAGTTGTATACGTTATTTTGTCGCGTTTGTCCTAGCCCGTAATAAACTCGACTATCGGCATAATACGTACCAAACTTTCTAAGAAATCCGTTCTTTTGTTTACAAATTGGGATTGCTTGAGCGTGCTTTATCACGAAGATGCCTCAATATCGCAAGATATGAATAAAATAAGTAAAAAAATACAACATCATTTCTGGTGCAGCAAAAGAGTTCAGGCGAAAATAACAGACTAAGAATTGTGTTTTATCGTAATTACTAACTCTAGTCTGAAATAAACTTTTTCTTTTTCTAATACAGATTTTTCTTATTTCCATTTAACGGCAACTCTTTGTAACGTCAAAATTTGCACAGTCCCTTGAGTGTCGTTATATAGATTTTACACTATTTCCGAACCAATTCGACTTACGGCCTGGCCACGGGGATCGGCGATGCGGGAGGCGAGGCGACCATTCGGGCGGGGCCGTTTGCAGGCCACGGACCATTCACGTTTGCCGCCGCGACCAGTAAGGAAGTTCGACAGCGAAATGTCTTTATCGAAATCATCTCGATATTGCTTGGAAAGTAATAGCTTTTGGTGCAAGACCTAATATTTGGAGAAATTGTGGTGAATTCCACAAGAAGTATGAGAAATTCAGAATATATCCAGAATTATTTTTTTGAGTATACCAGAATGAGTATTGAAACCTTCAATTATATTCTTATGAATATTCAACCAGAATTGGAGAAAAAAGTTAATGCAAATAGAATTTTAAGTGCCGCTGAAAAATTGTTTTTGAGATTAAGGTATATTAAATTAATGCTGTGGATGGCCAGACTTCCAAATAGCTGGTCTAGCCAGTATTTCAGTAACAAAAAACTCTGTTTTCATTTTTCGCCGCGACCACGACTAAACTTATTTATTCCCTTCTCTATTCGCCGCGACTGCCGCTCGACTCCGTGGCTTGCACCGTACTGATTCATGCATTTGTTTCGCTCGCCCGTCGCGACGTCAGTCGCCCGCGCGATTCGCTCGGTACATTTCGCCGGTCGCATCGCTGGTCGCCGTTGCGCGTGGCTTGATTAGTACATTGCTATGAGTTTATTTCAGTCGCTAGACGCATCGCGGTTCGCACCGCGCGAATATTCGCGTCAGCGAATGTCCCGTGGCCAGGCTGTTAGGGTCTTCCAAGAGCGTGCGGTATCACAATAGTATAAAAAACTTGCCATTATTCGTTGGCTCTATAGTATAAAAAAGAAATTGTTCAGTGGTTTTTAATCGTGGCTTTGTACTAAATATAAAATTGAGTTCCTTATTTCTAAATCAAATATCTCTGTGTCTCAATGGTACTAGAATATTGTAACTATGATAAGTTATGCTTGGAAAATAATAAGGAAAATTAATGTATATTCAATTACTAACATTCCACTGCGATGTTCTTTGGATATGTTACCAATTATCGACTAGAAATATTTAGGGCCTAAAGTTATTTTAATGACGCAATTTATTATTAATAAATTTGGCACATCTGGACATTTTTTAATATTTTGGAAATAATTAAAGACCGTTTTTAAGGCGGAAACATACTACCAAAACGCGACGCTACACCACGCCATCCGACGCATGTCAGTACTTATCAATCCAATATATTTAATATGGTCAGATGCACATAGACAACACGCCATGTGATCACACGCGGTAACATCCAATCGATTTGGATCGGCGTGTTGTCGTGTTGTTGACGCCAAGCGTCAAACGTTCGAGTTTTTGGCACAAATGTCAATTGTCAGCTAAATGACTTCTGAATTTGCAAGTGTGTCGTGGTGTCGCGTGTTGGTAATGTGCACGATGGACATCGGGTGTCGACACGTTGCGTCGCGTGGCGTTTTAGTAGTATGTTTCCACCTTTAGTCTAATCTAAACATTTGAATCATTATGAAAGTTAAAAAAAGGTTCTATACATTTACTGCTAGTTCTTAAATCAAATGCTTAGAGCGGGTGAGAAAAACTGATAAGATACTCTTTGCCAAGTTATTAGTTTACTAGGAACATTATTAATTCAAATAATGAGTCCTAACTAGCACTAAAATGTATATTATTTCTTGTAGAAGATTTGAAATTCGTTAGTTTTTCATTAATTGCTTATGAATATTTTTAAACGTGATTTAATTTTATTTTTGTGAATGTGGCCCGTTGAAAAACTTGGTTAGGTCCACGGTATACCGTGGATATCGCTAGTAATTTTTTTATTATTGTCTAGTCAATTTTCATTCCCTTCCGATTAACTTCTATATAACGCTATATCAAAATCATTATTATATTCAGTTTTTTCTCATAGTTTTAATTTTGTAATGTTTTAACCGAAATCGTGTTAATTTAAACTAGTTAAAAGTGTGGCTAGCTTGATATCAAGGAAAATTATAAGGATAAAATTTTAAGAGATGCCTTCCTGAAGCAAGGCCAGTGACAGGCAATGAAGCGAGAAATGTTTTGTAATTTAGTTTCCTAGTTTCTTGTTTTATAGTTAACCACGAGTTAAACTTAAATTTTATATAACTAATTCAGTTATAATGTGCATGGGTTTATATTAAAACATCATCATATATCATACATTGTCATGCGTTATTCAAATTGAAAATCATTTATTCATTTAGATAACACAATGTACACTTATGAACGTCAATAAAGATATACATATTTTTTATTTATTTATTTGCTTATCAGTATTCCTACAGCTACTCACTAAACAATTACCTTATACACAAAAGCCAAACACGGAATGCACATTCAGACATAGTAAACATAAAGCACGGTTAATAATTTTAACATATTATTTATACAAAAGAATAAAATATATATTAAATGATTCTAATTTTACAATTACTGCCAGTTCTCAAATCGACGGCTTGGAACGCAGGAGCACTAGTAATAATAAATTCTTTCCCACTCTTGATAATCGCCAAGGTTTTATTTTTACAAAATGTTTGCAAGGAGCTGCCGCTATTACACCATGTTCCACATGACATCCATATGACAGTAGGCATGGTGAAATAGGAGCACGCACTTGAAAGTCTCGTGGAAACAACACGCCCGAGGTACTACATTTAATTCCCTGTATCAGTTTCGTGATCTTTCATTTCTTCTAATATACAATTAGGAGATCAGTATTCTGTGCCTGACACACGCCGTTTTCGACCTTAGGCATTCGATTTCCTCACAATGTTTTACTTCACCGTACAAGCGACGGTTAAATGAGACGCTGAAGCCATTCGCTGCTGGCAGACGCAGCCATCGCAGAATTATGCCGGGCCTTTAAACCTATTATAAATGCACGGTAAATATTTAAATTACGAATTCTATACCTAGAAATGTAATTCGGGGCTAAACATCAATCAATGTCAAATTAACTAGTAAAAATATTACGATTCTGATAGATGATACATGTGTGTTCTAGTAGTCAAAAACTTAAAAATCCAAGTAATGTTGTTAAAGTAAAAAAATTGTTATAAGCAAAGTATAAATATTTTTTTAACTTTTATGGCACGATCTTGTTAAGTATGTATGTAAGAAAGGCTCTACGAAGCGAAAAATGTTTACGACCATTATTTAAACATTTTTTTTTCACTTACAATTAAGACGATAGTTCGAGAAAATTTCGTTACTTAACAATTGTTTAACTTGTTGAAAAATTCACTTTAAGTAAAATTTCCAACGGGAATAAATTAATTATAGTGTTCAGAACACATCATAATTTTTTCAAATTTAAAAAAAAAAAATTCAATACCTTAAATAAATTAATTAATGTGCCGTACTCGCTTTTGACGCCACGCGCGCATCCTAAAAATGTCATGCGCAGACGTTCAGCGTTAAATTAAAATTATAAATAATGGAGATAGAGTTCCGAGAGTTCGGAGTTTTTTATTGGAAAGATCCTTCTCTTTCAGAATCTTTTTGAATGATCTTGAAATTTCTTAAATATTAATAGTTTATTAAATATTGGCAAAAAACGAAATGCCATTTTTTTTTCATCTTTAATTGTTTATAACTTTTGCAATTTTTATGAGCTAATACACGCTTTGGGCACATTTTTCTAGACGTCATTCCGGATCCAATGAACTATCGCACATAATTTTAAGAGCAGCCCTGCGATTCTGTAACTCACTTTTCGAACTCACACAGCGGTTTTCGCATCGGCGGTCGCTCTCAAATCAGTCGTGAAGCAGTCATTTTATGATTTGGCATTCTGAAAAGGTGGAAGCTTGTAGTTTATTGTTTATTAGAATGCCAAATCATAAAATGACTGCTTCACGACTGATTTCAGAGCGACCGCCGTTGCGAAAACAGCTGAGTGAGTTCGAAAAGTGAGTTACAGAATCGCAGGGCTGTATCTATATTTTGTACCATTTTCAACTTGTCGACTATAGCGGTAAATTGAAAAAGAATTGGCTGTTACTTGCATATCCGTTTCGATTGAAAACCCAATCTATCTTCATTCGAATGTTATGTAGGAATAATCTAGATTAGATTTTTCTTTTACGACTTTTTTCCCGGGGCAAGCGATATGTCATTAATAACTTAAGAACCCCTCCATATTATAGAATACAGGCAGTCCTCGTACTTACGGCATGTTAGGTTCTCGAAATACGCGACGTAAATCGAAACGACCTAAGTCGAGACATATTTTTTCGTATGTTTACATGTAAAACTCAAGGGTTAAGATCCACACGGTCAAAAAAAACTGCATTTATAACAAATGTACAATGTACAATTTAGGGTGGTCCTTATTCCTAAGAAAAAAATTTTTTTTCTTTAATGTCGCGGGGCACCACGTAATTTGGATATATACCATAAAAAAGGGTTTCAGTATTTTTTTTGAAATTTTTAAATGATATTTAGAGGTCGCTACCAAGGTTTGAATTTTAAATAAAAATTGAAAATCTGTATTTGTTAGAATTCTTTATTTTTATACCCAGGTCTTAAAAATGTTACGAAATTATTGTTATTGTTATTAATTAAGATATTATATAGATATCTGATTTGTTTATTTTAAAGATATAAGGGTTGAATTGTTAGTATTAGGGTACTTTATCCTATACTCTTTTACCATCAAAAGCAAATATTGCTTTTGTTCTTCATTTGTGGTAATTATTTTTTTATATTCTTCCGTTCCTCTCAGCTATGTCGTTCACTACTCGCAATGAATGAACGATATTTTTGGCAGCTATATAATCAGCGTTTTCGTTCCAGGTTTCGACGTCTTTTAAAAAAAACACCATGAGAAATCTAGGGTCTGGAAGAATCTTAAGGAATGACTACTCACGAAGTTTTCTATTTTTTTTGTCGATATGTGCGATGCCAAGGTTTATTCGTTTTAAGCAATCTTCTGTGCCTTAAATTTTGAGTACTTCTACTATATTTTTCTTTTCTTGAACTAAAACTTCGTCATCGAAAAACGCAAGCGAAACTATGTCTTCTGACAAATTACAAATTATTTAAAATCTTTATCAGCGCATCAGTAGCTATATTTTTGTTGAAGACCTTAAGTCTATTAATAATTGTAAGTCGTTTCTTGGTGCTGACTGACTCTACAACTACTGAAAATACATATTTTTCTCACAGCTTTTTCGTCCTTCTTCGTTAGCTTAAACTGATGCTTAAATAAATACATTTTTAAACTGTACAAGGCTCTTGCCATCCACCTAGCTCGATGAAGACCAGCAGGTCTCTGAAATGAAACGCTTTTGTCAGGAACACCTCCTAAGGAAATGATAGTAAGATTCAACAGTTCTCTTTAGTCATCTCGAGGTTCATGTACTTGAAGTTGCTTTTATGCAAACGAAATCCTGTCTGCGGCCACTTCTGCAAGAATATTTGCCTCAGCGTCATCAGCTGTTATTGATTTGAAGTCGCTTTGGTCAATAGTGTTACAATTGTTCTTAAATCTTTTAAATTATTGTATATCAGGAGCACTAGATGGGGCAAGTGATCCACTACAGCTGACAACATAATTTCCATTATGTGGTGACAACAAGCAAACCAAAGCTTATTTTTATTCATATTGCGCTCCAGAAGGACGAATACTCTACGCTTTAAGCCGGTATTTACAGCAGTAGAGTCAAAACATTGTCTAACATTTTACTTTATAGCTCAAATTCCATGACTTTATAGCTTCATAGACAGCTGGACGGACAAGCTTCGCTTGTTCCACGTTCCAATTTTGGAACAGCGAGTAGTTGATAAACTCCATATCCTGATGTCAAAATTGGCAGCCGATCTTTAGTTTTGTGTCCAGTAATATCTTCTAGAAGTTTACCCTACCAATGGATTGTTAATGACGAATTAGGTTTAAACTCGCTTTTGAGCGAATCTGCACAGCTTTGCGATTTTGGACCCATTACCGACGCATAGTAGATCTATTGACATTAAATTCTGATGGACCACAGCCTGCACATTTCAAAGTAGATGTCACGACCATAGTTGCTTGTCTGTCACTCAATTTAGAGACATCAAGACTGGTATCTAATTGACTGTTAATAATATAAAAAATATTTTATTTGTAAAAATTTTGACAGCTGGTAGCGACCTCTAAATCTTAACAAAAACAAAAACAAAAAAACACGTATTTCATATTTAGAGGTATATAATCAAATGAGAAAGTGCCCCGAGGATAATTCAAAAGTCGAAAAATAAGGACCACCCTAATGTACATACTTACTTTATTATCAAAAGTAAGTTCTTAACATAATTATATATGCACTTATGAAATTGCTCGTTATTTTTGGTATTTGTGTGTTATTAATTTTAATAATAATTATAAAACTTTAATATGTAATGAGAAATGATAAATTCAACTTTTGGCTTAAAGAAACTAACAATTCTAGATTGCTTCGCTTCTTTCTTCTTGCTATCATACAGATCTTGGTAACACTGATAGGCTGCACAAATTTTGTTATTAACGTCCTAATTATAAGTATGTACATAAAAATTTGTTTTTTAGCAAATAACCAATAAACGCACTAATCCTGTAGCCGGATCATAGACCAAGTGTAATTTTTTTTAAAGCAAATTGCTTAATATGAAATAGTTTTTGTTCCTAGAACATTCAACTGTCTATAAATCATAACTGTATGTCGCGCGTGCAATGAACGATTACACGCCCAATAATTGTTGACATGACAGGTGGTCTTTGCATCTATTGAGGTTTGGCTGGGCTCCAGATATATTTAGTGTGCATTATGCAGTGATAAAACTATGCGTACGTGCTATCATGTTACCCTACATACAATTCTAGCAATCGTAATAAGAAAATTGATATTTATAGTTAGCAATTAACAAATAACATTACTAAAAATTAACCACACTTATTCATTATTAAACAACAGATACCCACTATTCGAAAATTATAAGTTTTTTCACCGATGATAAAGTATCGTACACGAGTAATGGTGGCCGTAGTGACTTCAGGTTCAGCGTGCGACTCTCATCCCTGAGGTCGTAGGTTCGAGCCCCAGCTGTGCACCAATGGACTTTCTATGTGCGCATTTAACATTCGCTCGAACGGTGAAGGAAAACATCGTGAAGAACCCGGCTTGCATTAGACCTAAAAAGTCGACGGCGGATGTTAGGCACAGGAGGCTGATCAGCTACTTGCCAATTAGATTGATAAATGGTAATGAACAGGTACAGAACGCTGAGGCCCAGACCTAAAAGAGAGCGGAGAGTTTATTGCCAGTTCTTCTCTTTCTACGCCCATGACTTGAGAACTGGCAGTTGATTTAATGTTTAATATTTATTTTTTAACGTATGAACGTGAAGTGTACATTATGTTACCTATATGAATAAATGAATTTGAATTTGAAAAAGGTGGTAGCGCCACTTATTTATTTTTTTACTCAACCCGACTTCACCATACACGGTTGACTTGTATATCCCACTAGTAACCGATCCACCATAGCATTCCTTTATTCATTTATTTTCTTTTTTTTTTAAATTAAAATTGGCGTTTGTGCTTTGGATAAGCTATACAATAATGTTACACAGAACGATAAAGACGCAAGGTAGAGGTGGTTATCAAACCTTCTTCGTTCGTTGCATGTTCGCTTTCGTGTCCTTGTCACTGCGTCCTCTCTACCACACTAATGAGCGCAATAAAATATTTCAGGTATTTACTATAAAGGAGGGTGTGCAATACAAAATAAGAATCGACTTCATAGTACAGCGTGAGATCGTGCACGGACTCAAGTATGTGCAAAAGACCTACCGCATGGGTGTGCCAGGTTAGTAAATTCCATTACTTGAATAATAATAATAATATTAGACTTATATTCTGAAACTCTGTGATCTGTAATATATTTTCACTACAGTATATTCTAGGAGTTCGGCCTCCTCTAAAGCTTAGATTTCCTAGAAAAGCGGTGCCGTTATCTAACGGCCGTAATGTAGCGTTGGGTGACGTCACCCATACGTTGTCTATAACATCGGAGTAGGTTTCCTAGAGAACGTTGAGTGTCACCGTAACGTCAAATAATGGTGCTGTCATATGCATGACGGCTGTCATAGCGGTGATAAACATTAATTCAACGTTTTTCGCGTGTAGCGGTGCCCATATTTAATTAATACAATGAGTGGAAACGGGACTTGGACGAGCGAAAATTATGTTTTTTTGCATTATGTTTTAAAGTAAAGACGGCCGTTAGTTAACGGCACCGCTTTTCTAGGAAACCTAAGCTTAACGCTTTCCACCGTTCTCTATCCTTTGAGACTCTTATTCAGTTGTAGCCTACTGTTAATTTGAGTTCGTCCTCCCATCTCTTGCGTTGTCGGCCTCTTCTTCGTTTTCCGTCTTTAGGGTGGGTACCATTCCGTCAATATTTTGCTCCATTTTTCATGGGGGTTTCGTAGCATATGACCCGTCTATCTCCATTTCAGTTGGCCTAGTGAGAATATCTGTCACACCTATCCTAGCTCTCATGTCTGTGTTTCTTTCCTTGTCTAATTTTCTTATTCTCAGGATGCTTCTTTTCATTGCTCTTTGGCAGTGTGCTAGCATGTCCCTGTGCTGGTTAGAGAGTGCCCAATTTTCGACTTAGACTTCAAGTGTTAAAGACTTTTCTCTTTATTTACTGCTGAAATCTGTTGTTTTCATGCTCTCCCTCAGTGTCCAATATCTTTTCGATTCATTTGCTATTCATCTTTTATCTTTGGTGGTTATGTCCCCTTATAACCCTTAAGATGGGGCAGAGGGCGTCCACAGAGAATCTCAATCGCGTTCGATTTATTAAAAAAATGGCTAAATTAAGGGGACGATATGATTTATAAGAAGTTCGTCACATTGCACACATTAAAACAAAATCGTGCCAAAAGTGGAAAAATATTCAAAATGCGGGTAGCACCATTCATTTGATAATATTTTTTTTATTTCTACCCACATTTTGTATTTTGATTAGGTTAAATACTGCGATATATTATGATCTATTAATAAATAAGTACTTTCTTAGTCTTTACTTTATTAAAATATTACAATCTGTTTGTACGCTGCACTGGATAGTCCCTGGTATGTATTAATATTCCACGCTGTGCGACCATTAATATGCACTTATGTATTGTAAGACACTTATGTATATATAGACATGGCCATATTACTTAAATATTTTTAACTGACTTCGTAAAATGAGGTTTTCAATTTGTGTTTTGGATGTAATTTATGTCTGTTCACAGATGTCTCGGAAGCTAGTAAGATGATTTTGATTTGAATCAGATCTAATATCAACATGAGCTTCATCAAAATCGGTTTAGTAGTTTTCGAGATTTGGAAATGGCGTCGGTTTAATTTTTATAAATTAGTTTTATTGGACATTTGAATTTAAAAAAATGTGTTGGTAGAAAATACCTACTTCTAAGGAACCATTTCGTTTAATTAATTGAAAAATGCTAACAAACAAAATCTTTTATTTTATAAATTGGCCTGAGTATTAAAATATAAATATATTATATAAAAATAAAATAAAAATGATTTCAGTGGACAAAATGACACACATGGTCGGATCTTACCCCCCGAAAACCGAGATCCAGTCATATACCACGCCCCCTGAAGATGCTCCTTCGGGGATGATGGCGAGAGGATCCTATTCTGTCAACAGTCTCTTTACTGATGACGACAAGAATGTCCACCTTCAGTGGGAGTGGACCTTTGACATTAAGAAGGACTGGAAGGATTAGATAGAATGGGTGAGGTCCAGTACTTCCAGCGTTGCGGTAAATTTACTGATTGATTTTATAGTATATCTACTGTAGAAACAGTAGATTTCGAAAAATACAGTAAACGGTTTGTTAATACGTTAAAATTTTAAGAAACTTTTCTAAAGAACTCTGGACTTTAGTGGAACTACTTAGGTCTGGAAGTACTGGTGAATCTGCGGCCCAAAAGGAAATTGCCCATACCCAGCAAAATATTCATGTAAGAGAATTAAAAATCAAGCCGATTGTGCGATGGAAAAAAATTGTTGAAACGTGTTTTTTGCTTGGGGGTTGGGGCAAAAGGTTAAAACTGATCAATTAACCAAAGAGCTGTCAAATCTGTCAAATTGTGACAGCAATAGATGTCAGTGCTTTTGGTACGAGTGCTAACACTGAGAAAAAAAATGTTTGTTTGATTTGGGCAATTTCCTTTGAAAATTGTAAGCTTTTCATTATAAAGCTCTGACGGTCAAGCGCACACTACAGAATGCTAAGTACAAGTTTTGGTGATTCAAAATGTACGAATAATTTAAAAAATATTGAATGTACAAAAAAATTTGCAAATACACGTCTACCCTCCTTTTTTGAATTTTTTTTCAAGTCAAATTCACTAATGTTTTAAAGTTTTATTACTAGTGAACTAGATATTTTTATTTGTCTCAAGCCGTAGATTCAAGGGTTTTATTTTATTTTTTAATCACATTATAGGTGTTTCTATAAACAAGAAATTCCTATTCAAATAAATTATTTATTTAAAATAATTATAGTTTTTTTTACTTTGCAATATGCTCATTTAAAATGTTTATATCGTACTGTATCTAGCATTCTGTTTATATGAAATGTAAAGACCATAGAGCCAGAGGTGAGCATAGAGTATGGATAGAAGGATAGAGCGGGTTGCCATAGACTTGGCGTTTAGGGGCGCGACGAGTGATTAACGGTTAACCGTTTGTACAATTTTAGTGTCATATTTGTCTGTATTCAGTATTAATCGCTCGTTTCGCATCTGACATTAGTGCATTTTATTCTATAGGGACTGGACTAAATATTTTTTTATAAAAACCACAGATTCACAATTTTCTCGATTTCTTTGTAAAATGCGTAGATTAAGGTAGGGTTAATGTTTAGTCAGTAGTTATAGTACTCACCCCTTTACTTATAATCCCTCTCTAAGTACCATTTGCTATTTCAAAGAATAATAGCAGTCGATATTGATGAGTCAAAACGTATTGTATATTGACAAATGTCAAAGTATTCAATTGAGCATCTTAGCTGAGAGGTGTTTATAGGTAAAGCGATATATGTTTAATACTATCATGCATATTTCTCACAAATTCATTAATAATAGCTGGTTTGATACATATAATGACGTTACTATGTGGTCTCGGACATTTTAAGCAATTGAGATTTTCATAAAACAATTTAAGAATGCCAAAAGTGACATTGTACTTTTTTTATATTAATTTGTTTTACTCGGACCAAAATATCGTCAAATATTTTTTGTACGTCTTTTCTACGACAGTTGAATATCTATCCTTTCGCCTCACATAAGAGAGAGCGGGACAAATATATTTCTACAAATATCATGTTGTAAGGGGATTCCCCGTTGGTGCATGGATATAGTCTATTTTTAATACGTAGCCTCTAACCAGCCAGATTTGGCAATAATAGTATTACTTTTGTATTCATTCATATTTTAGATCTTAGGGCTCGCGTGTATGGGTGTGGCTACACTTGGGGCGGTTTACTGATTTCAAAATTTGTTTTGTCACTTGTTTTGTGACGTCTGACATGAGACATCTAACACCGGGATTCCATAGACAATTTTTATATCTGCATTATAGTTATTTGTAAAATATTTTTATACACAGTAAACAGTAGTGTGTAGTGGCTTCAGCGTGCGACTCTTATCCCAGAGGTCGTAGGTTCGATCCACGGCTGTGCATCAATGGAATTTCTTTCTATGTGCATTTATCATTCGCTCGAACGGTGAAGGAAACAGGTTTGCCTGAAACCCAAAAAGTCGACGGCGTGTGACTTGCCTATTAGATTCACAAATGATCATCAACCAGAGACATATCTGAGGCCCAGACCTAAAGAGGTTGTAGCGCCACTGATTTATTTTTATTACATATGTAACGTACTGACGACTAAGTTACAGTTGACAGTTATTTTTTTTAATCGACAAGGTGACAGTTGACATTTTTAACGTCAAATGATTATTGGTTGTCAGTAAATTGGTCCCAAGTGAAGCAAGATTGAATTGCTTGAGGCAGATCGCTTGTCACTGGTGCTCAGTGGAATGTACAAAAAGTATTACCTATGCATTTGGCTTTTATAAATTTTAAACAATTTGAAAATTTCATAAACTATGATTCTATGTTTTCGAGTTATAGCATAATATAGCTTTATTGTACATTTACAAGTATTATATTTGTTTTGATGTAGTTAAATTTGATAATCTGTCGTTATTGATTTGACGAATTGTATGCAATGTAATAGTTTGGCCAAAAATAAAGCTTATTTATTCAAGGGTTTTTTTATTATATTATGTTCTGTTTCCTATCCTATCAAAACTTTCCATATACAGTGTAAATAAACTCTTTATAACGAATTTCAAGGGACCGAGTAATTTTATTCTTTATAGAGAGTTTAGAATAAATGTATGGGTATTGGGTTGGTTAAAGCAAATAAATTTTATTCACTTTTACGTTAAACAGAGTTTTTCATTATAACGAATGCCGTTATAAAGATATTAAACTGTATATTGTAAAGCTTGCTAGTGGACTGTGAAATGTGTGTTTGAATTTATATGTATTAAATGTTAGGAGTATATGTATATATTAGCAAGCTGTACTAGATAAATGAGAGGGTTAGACCTAAAAACCTAGCAACTGAAACCTGACCCCTACAGATGTACCCTAACACATAAAGTGAATATATAAATAAGTATCTACGGGATGTCTGCGCCGAAAGACCGAGGGTTAAATCTGAACGTATATTAAAATAAATGTTACTACCGCTTACTAAACGTCAATATATTGCTTTTGTCAGTTTTTTTTAAATACGGAGGTAAACGAGACTGCGACGCCTAAAAAGGGCAGTGACCACAGCTCATGGATTTGCTGGCCTTGGAGACGCTATCTTCCAGGGCGTCGATTCCACAGTTCGCAAAAGAAAGCGGACCGTGGAAGACTTCTATCCATCAAGGTGATGCCGATAAAATTTTGAGTTAATACGGCTCGTAGTGTGGTAACAAGGCAGGGATCAAACCAAACAACTCAGAACACTCCATAGTACACTTTTATTACTATTGTAAAGCTTGCGTGTGAAGCTAGATGTAGTAAAACTAGTATTAAACAAAGTTTTCCCTATGTGAAAACAGTTGAAATTAATTAATTAAACTTATTGCATTGTTTAACAGGCTGGTCTACACACTAGGACGTTCCTGTGTTGTCCATACTCTTCCGAGATACAAAACAACTTGTTTTCTATCTAAGCACCGATGGGGCATTTATTAATAAAATATCTTGATTTATACGCGAGCTAGGTGATCAATGAATTATAATGTGTAAGATTTGGAAACCCTTTCAAGTAAAAGATACATGTGTCAGGGTTCTCTTCTCTTCCAAACCCACGTAGAAGTCCTCCATAACTTTTTTTGTTTTTCAATTACAATTGAAATTTGAAATTTAAAACAAAAAAGCATTACGCGACGCGTAACATGCGTGAGTGAATGAGTGAGTGTGTGGGTGCATGCGAGGGTAATGTGTAACTACACGTTAGGTTTCAAGAGCATCTCCAACTCTGGGTAAGGCGTGTTCAGAAGCCAGTTTTGTTACCGCTTGTTTCGATGGGAATCGTTCAAAACTTGTCATAAAACACTAAGTCACTGATAAAAGACGATGCCGTTCGTAAGGTGGGTAATGGCGAAAAAAGAACTATATTTAGAAAATCTTTTTAATTCATAATCTCCGCTAAGTCAACATCTTTATCAGCTTTAACGAATTCGACGACTTCACCATGTTTCTTCAAAGCTATCGTGACGAAGCGGTCAGTCTTCTGAGAGGGACAGAATGCTGTGAGTCTAGTGGGTACATAGGCGGCTTCGAGGATCTTTAGAGGCATTACTAGTGACATACATCCTCTTTCTGAAATAAAAATCTATTAATAATAATAAAAAATCTATGCATATGTTCCTCATTTTAAAAGCTGAACGCTGTGTTTTTATCTATAGAAAGATAAGTATAAATTTTGGCAGTAAAGTGTTGGCCTAGTGGCTTCAGTGTGCGACTCATCCCTGAGGTCGTAGGTTCGATCCCCAGTCACCAATGGACTTTCTGTTTACAACATTCGAACGGTGAAGGAAAACCTCGAAGAAATCGGCTTGCCTTAGACCCAAAAAGTCGACGGCGTGTGTCAGACACAGAAGGCTGATCACCTACTTGCCAATTAGATTGACAAATGATCATGATACATGTACATAAATCTGAGGTCCAGACCTAAAAAAGTTGTAGCGCAACTGATTTATTTTTTTAAATTCTGGTATAAAGATTATGACTAGAATTTCAGTTTTAAAATTTTGAGGATAAATCTTACCAGGTATTTTCCTCTTAATATTAACATTTTCTATGATATATACTCCATTTCTCCCTAACACGTTGGAGACGGTGCGAGACGTCATTTCTCTTGTCTCTTCCGACTCCAGGCTGGGAGCGTCCGTGGCTACTCCTACTACTCTTGAAAGATTGGTAGCAATGTACTCCGCTAAATCGTAACTAAGTCCTGAACAAATAGTATTAATATAACAAATCATTATACACAGAGCAGCCATCGTTCGTAATTTATCTAAAGTGTTTTAACCTGGTATCTGACAAATGCACTGGCGACGTTTGCTCTTCGATTTCCAACCAAAATTGAATAACAGTAACGTTGGTTCTCGTGGATCATGTCTCAGAACTATCCACTGCAGGGCGGCTTCCAGCGAAAGAACTAGAGTTGGTATCGTCTTCGTTATTGAAGTAAGGTCTATTACAGCGACTGAAATAAAAAACTTATGGCAAAACCGGGTATTTAAAGCAGAGATCACACACTATGCTATCGTTGCTAACCACTAGAAGAAGAACTAGGAAGAGAACCACTAGTATATAATAGTTTTCTATTGTAGTAGGTATGTTATAAGGAATATGTTAATAAGTTTTCAAGGATCACATTTTTACTACTTAAATCTGATTAACGATTGTAGACACAATCATAACTACGCACTGACTAATATTTGTATAATTTATTATCACACTGAAAGAAAGAAAAAACTTTATTATACATAGTAAAAAAATATGTTAATCTAATAAGAACACTAGGATTCCCTGTGTCGTGGACAGCCAGTAGATACTAAGTAGACAATAATTTCTACATAACGCATTTTATAATTAAACTATTATTGCACAATAAAAAAAGTTTCCGTTTCAGCATAATAGGTACAGGTTCAGAAGACGTTGTGTAATTGATAGTGAATGTATAAAGTTTTGAACCGTTAGTGAAAATATTTGTCATTCAGAAATTGGTTAAACATGAAGGAGAAAAAGTGTTGGGCGAAAAAAGTGCGTTTTATGGGTTGCTTATATGTAGTTATATGTAGGTTTGCGTTGTGTAGGTATGATGTGGTGTGGTCTGTGTCTGTTACCCAAAGAAATCTGAATATTACTCTTAAGTCTAGTTGTCTCACGGTTAAAATAAATATTGTCTAAATATCTAAAATGGGGTATTAAGATTTTTGTGTAATAATTCATAAATTCAATATACCCTTAGACGTGTCAAAGTCGAGACTAAGAATTTTAGGTGTATGTAATTTGAACTCACAAAAAACTATACTTACGCCTTGTTAGAAGGTACTCTGTTGGGATCATAGATGGCTGCATGGTCCCTGGTCTCACTGTATGTTCCAGATGGAATCCGGTACCAAGTCCTGGGATTCCGCAGTTGACGCATATTTTCCTTGTGAAATATTACTAAAGCTTACTTTTGGCACAACTAAACAGTCTATATTATTTTGTCTTGCATACACTTTTCCATGTTTTATTAATCACGATAAAAGGATAATATTTAACATAAGTATATTGCTTTGCGTAATTAATACAATTTAATTATTATCATAACAAAGACTTTCATAAAATTTGATTCCTAAGTGATTAATTCCTTTGATAAAAATACCTAACTTAGCCAATGTCAATAAAAGACTGCCCCATGCCCCCATTATGCTATGGACTTCATGCTTTTGTGAAAAAAGTTTCAAAAATTTGTGAATAGAGTTTCAAAGATAATTTTCATGAATATCGTGAATCGCAGTGATATTTGCCTTTAATTGGCACAAAATCAATGGTATATTTTTAAAAAAAATATAATCTTGCTGTTGGCCTGAAAGCCATTGACAGCTCACTTCGGACTGTTTTGGCGAGGGTAGCTGACGGAAATGGGCTTTGCCGACGACTAGCTCTAGGGGTTGAACTACGCATAAGAATATTGTCTCGAAATGCCATTTCTAAGGATATTCATTTCTGCACCTGTTTCACTTACCATTTTGCTTATTAGCCAAGCCTAAATGTATACATAATATTGACCTTAAAAAAGCAATTTACCAGCCATTATTGACAGCTTCATAGAATTCCATCATTTCCCTCCAAGTGGTTGGGTGAGATAAATCAAATATTTCTATTATTGGCAGATCTTCGTCTTCTAAATATCTTTTATATTCCATTGCTGATGCATTTATAATTAAAAATAATATCACACGCATCGTTCTCGATGTCATTTGAATAACTGATCTAATCCATATGATGTCTTTGTTTAGGCAATGAAAATAAATTCGTAAACAAAATAAACAATGACGCTGATGTAACCAAGAAACTTTAAATAAAAATAAAAGATTATTTGGGTACAAAATGATGGTGCGGAAACATTGGCACGTGGCGAGTGGTGTGGTCAGTGACCTCAGGCCAATGAACGAAACGTTAGATTTTAGAACACTTTCGCCCGGCCTCAAATCCCTGCAGTTAACTGGAAATATATTCTTTTTATATACTTCAATTACGTAGAAAAGAGTTTCCAGTTTACTATGTTTCCATAACATAGTAAATCCTAGACTAGTTAAGAGAATTTATATCAGTTTGGCTGTCACTAATGTTTTCAAATTATGTACGAGACCGATAGCTATGCCCCTTTAATCATTAAACCAACTTTGATAAGCCAGAATGAACCATTCATTCATGATTTTTGGCAAAAGTCCGACAGTTCTTCACACCGGAACAGCTTAATCTTTATCAAGGTCAAGTCAAGAATCTCAATCACTGTTCAGTTGCCTGCCTGTCAGTCTTCTATAGATTGCGCTATGGAGAATGCTCCGTGGAACTACACTACCTGATTCCGACATCCCCTTTAAGACAATGCTCGTCTAGAATCACGCTGGAGTTTCACCACTTCTTTCTTGACATACCCAAGAGCGGCACTACACGATTTGGATCGTCGTTTCTTGTAAGAACAAAAAAAGAGTGGAAGTCCTTGCCCCCTAAATTCTTCCCTAAACAGTTTAACATGGGTTCATTCATCTAAGCGCCAGCTAAATAGGCATCTTCTGGCATGCCCTCCAATAGACCGCATCTCACTTAACATTAGATTGTATTGGGGCCAAACGTCTGCCGTCTGTATAAAAAATCTAACTACGCAATGAGATGGAAAATTGTAACCAATTATAATAAAACGATTACTAGTAGTAATTAATTTATTGAAAATATATACATTTAATATTTAATCTTAACATGCAACTATGAGTATAAATAAATAAGTTCTAAGTGGCTTTCTAACGTTAGGATATCGTTGGGAAGATGAACCACATACAAATGTAAAAAAAAACATATAAAAATACATAATCTTAAGCCAATTTTGCTATAACAAAATTACTAAGATTTAAGTTATAAGGGAAGTCTCTAGTGGGCTATATTGCACTAGTATTAGGTTAACTTAAATTAATCGATGGTTTGGCTTAGTACAACCCTGAAGGCATATCCGTCACTTTATTGAGGCCGTAACTGGAACTGATTGGTGAAAACGTCCTCTTCATATCGCTATAGCTATGTGTTCCATTCGTCACCAGACTGGTCATGCTAGCCGGAGCATCTCTCAACATTGGGGCCCCAGAATAGAACCCTGTGGTATTCCCACGCTTCATCATAAACGTATTATTGAAGTTCGTATCGAACGACCCCGTCGTTCTAGCAGTTGAATATTTATCGCATTTGTCTTCTTTGTATTCGTACGAGTGGGTTCTACTACTGGTTCTGGGCATCAAAGGGGGTTCTTCGATTTCGCTGTTGGCACGAGACACCGATCTCTGGCGCTTCTCATAAGACCACGTCGTCTTTTTCGTTTCGGGGACCATTATTATATCGACCATTGAGTTGAGTCCTTCGTCGATTCTGTCTAAGCTTTTCGTAAGCTTTTTAGATTCTATTAAATTCACGATTTCATCGACGCGACTGCATTTAGAACCGGACCGTTGTAGTGGCGATGGCTCGATGAGGGACGAGTGACTTTCAAACATACTCTCAATGTATTCACGTTGCCGCGATCCTTTCTCAGATTGGAAAGATTCACTTCGTTTAACTGTTGGCTTTCTTGAATCCTCTCTAGTCTTTGATCTTCTTAGTTTATTGTCATCTGTATCGGTTTCGTTGAATTTAGCGCGGCATTTACTAAAGTCGAAGCTTGTGAGCGAATCGTTTTTCATAACTCGACTACGGCACCGTGAAACGCTAAGTAAAGAATCGGAACCTTCGTCGCTCGAACAGTACATATCGAAGAAATCCTGCGATTTATTAAACAAAAGTCCCTTTTCTACGTGAGGGAATAATTGACTGAGGCTTCTGTTTTTATTCGGTGGTTGAGGGAATATCTTGGTAGGCACAATTTTACCGATTTCATCGCTGCTGTCTTCAAATTCATTACTACTGGTTATATGAATGCTGTGCCTAGTGCTTGTTATTGAGTCTTCTTTTTCTTCGCTTCTGTCTTTTTGATAGTCTGTTTCTGAAGTACGATTACTTTTGCATTTGCTGTCTGTTCTGTTCAAATACTGTTCGGATTCTGCGTGATTAACGATATTTCTGAGTTCTTGAATGACTTCATCGATTGTTGCCTCTTCTTCATCGTCTGTTGACTTTTTGTGATTTTTTGTGCTTTCCAGTTTCTTGTGGAGCGGTCTTTTGTTTCGTAGCAGATCGTATGTTTCATTTTTAATATTGAATACTTCGTAAACCATGGACTCCCTTTGTGGGTCTCCTTCAGGGCTGAGAGATCTTTCCGAGGAACTTATACCTTCATCTTCGGGAGGTGATGATTCATCTGGAACAAATTAGTTTTAATTAGAGGAACACATCGTGAGGAATTCGGCTTGCCTTAGACCCGAATAGCCGACGGTGTGTGTCAAACACAGAGGGCTAATCACCTACTTGCCTACTTACTACTATACAGACATTTGAGGCCCAGACCTAAAAAGGTTGTCGCTACTGGTGTTTTTTGTTTGTTTGTTTTATCATGCCAAGTTATTTAATTACGTTAAAATCAATCATTTACCTCTCCTTCTATGCGTGGAGTTTTTTTTCTTAATGACAAACGTTTTCTTCCTACTTGAAGTACTGTGCTCGGAGCGAAGTGTGCTCACTTCTTCTTGTAACTCACAACATTTTTCCTTCAGACATTTTTCCAGAGATAATAGAATTCCTTTCTCTTCCTGTAGAATCTGTGGAAAAAATATTCAAAATTCAAAATAATTTATTCATATAGGTAGCACAATGTACACTTATGAACGTCAAAAATAAAATATATATATATATATATATATATATATATATATAAAATGCTTCTAATTTTACATTTATTGCCAGTTCTCAAATCAAGGGCGTAGAACAGAACTGGCAATAAACTCTCCGCCACTCTTTTTAATGGCCAAGATTTTTGTTTTACACAACGTTTGTAAGAAGCTGCAACCATTACACCATGTTCCACATGACATCTTAAGTAATAAATAATAATAAAATAAATTAGCAACAAAGATTTGTCCTCTATCAGCAGGAGGCATGGTAAAATGGGAGCACGCACTTACATTCTCGTGGGAACAACACACAAATACATAATCGTAATAAATACACGAATTCAAGTACAATCACCACAAGTAGCACTCGTTCACCGGTACCGATATATCCGTCACATCATATTTTATAAAAATATTGCTTTTCCTTTAGTTTTTACTAGTAATTTTTTTCTTACCTTGACTCGTTTCTCCAAAAGTTCCAATTTGTGCCTCAGGTCGTCCTTTTCCTTTTGGGCCTCTGTTGCCTTTTCACTAAGAGTATCAATATCTATCAATTGTCTCTCGTAGTTTTCTATTTCCTTCACTACGTATTCGTTGGGGTTTGGTAGTTTGGCGACGATCTGTAGGGATTCAATTTATATAATTTATTCACATATTATATTACCAACACTATTTACAAAATATGTAAAAAATACATAGTGCTACGGATTAGCTTATTGCTACTAAGCGATATCTGCCAGGCAATCCTCAATACACAATATATAATTATACTAGATGCCCCCGCGAACTTCATTTCGCCTTAATATGATTTATTTACTTTTTTGGTAGCTAGATTTTTTTAAATGGCTCGCAAGTGCGTTGCCGGCCTTTCAAAGTACACACTAACATATCGAACATTTTGCTATGTTAGCCTTTAGGCTTCGCTTTTCCGGAATAAAAACTGGTTTTAAGGTTTTTCCGTGCTCTTTCAAAAAAAATCTCCATAAAAACCTTTATCAGAGTTACAGGAATAAATAAAAAAATATTCAAATTCGTCCAGCTCTCTTCTAGTTAGTATAGTTAACTATTTCTCCTACTTCTAATAGCAGACAAGTTTGAATTTTGTTGACACGAAGGTTTTATTAATACATACGTAATTTAAATTTAAATTTTATTGTATTCAAAACTAAATTGAAAGTGAACTAAGCTAAGTTTGTAATGCTAAGTTGTTACTGAAAATATGTTTAGGTAAACGAAAAGTTAATTTACGTGAAGAAAAATATGGTGAGGAAACCGGCATGCCAAACACAAAAATGCTAATGGCGTGTGTCAGGCACAGAAGGTTGACTATCAGGAAACAGATACAGGAATCGGAGGTCCAGATCACTTGGTATATTTAGTATAAACCTAAAATCTGCACCTTTTTCAAAGTTACAACATCGAACCCTGCCTGCTCCAACTCAGCCTGTATGTAGAGTTTCCTTTGGGGAGATGGGGCGCTGGTCAACAGGGAATTGATAAAGGCCAGACCAGCTGCTTGCAGGTCTCCAGATCCTCCGGTGCTTTGAAGCATCCCCACCAGGAACCTGAACCTGACTGGTTCTCCATATCGAAGGCGAAGTGTTGATAACGCTTCCGATATCATACTGTGACCGTGTGCTGGAGGCTCGCAGGCCTTTGTGAGAAGCTAAAATAAAAGTTATTTCAAATCAAAATATGTATCATGAATTCATGTTGGTAACTGAATGTAAGGTGGAAAGGGTCACCGGGGAAAAGAAAGAAAGGTCGCCCTCTTGAAATTGGTGGAGATGATTGGGGGGAAAATGCTCATGATAGAGAGATATGGAGCCAATTGGTTGAGACCTAAACTCTACGTATAAGAGGTCCTTGGAAAAATATGGAAAATATATATTCATAATTTATAATTAATATATATAATTTATTAATTTATATGTTTTTCTGTATAAAATGTGTGTGTATATTTTGTATCTGAAGGAGAAGAAGTGAAGTTACGTTACGCTTTTAAATCGCCAAAGTTTTTAATAATGTATTGTACATACGTATGTTATTTTTATAGAACAGGGGGGGGGGGGCAAACGGAGTCTCATCTGAATTTAAGTGATAGACATAGACACTCTCAATGCCAGAGGGCTCGCGCTCGGCTTTTTAATAAATGGTTCAGAAATACTTCAGTGGGAAGCTGGTTCCACACAGTGGAGGTGCTCTGCTAAAACTCCTTAAAAAACACTCAGTTGTGGAACAACGGACGTCGAGGTGATACGGGTGGAATTTGGTATTTTGCCTCGACGTCCGATGATGAAATTCAGCTGCAGGTATTAATCCGAACAACCTCTGAGCACCCTCCATGGTCAATTCCGTACGATACACAACGCTAAGGCATCCGGACGCTCAAAATAAATAAAGAAGTTTCAAAAATTCGTCAGCATCCTATTCTCTAGATGTGTCGTCCATAAATGTACGTTTTGAACGTAAAAAAGTGACTTTAATGAAATCTGCAGTATCCTCTTTGATGGAATTTGCCTGGTCTAAATTAATCCTTTAAATATTTACAAAAATCCCAATCAAAGGCGTGACAAAAGCTAAGCCGAAAACGTAAGAAAAATAAAGAAATATGTACTAATATTCAGTAGGTATAACAGTAGCCGGAAATATAATCGTATTACAAAAACCAGCAACTTTCCGGAATTCCAGAACTTTCGAGTCTCAAATTACTCTAAGTTTTTGACATTTATATATTATATTTGTATAAAAAAAGCCAAAACAGATATATCCATTTCCATCGTTTCACTTTCGTTTCATCATCCATAATTTTTCTTTAATATAAATTCTGCTTGGTATGAAATAAGAAAATAATATTGGTTCCTACCTGTAATGCAAGAATCCTAGATTTATTGACAGTAGACATAATGCAAACAGCCAAAGCGTATACTCCGTTGGAGCAGGCCACCAATCTCCTCACGCATTCTGAATACCTGGTACAGCAACTCCAAAGACACTGTCTGAAAAATATTTTATTAATTTTATTGTATCGGCTAAAGTTATTTGTTGGTTAAGAAGGACTTTGGTGGCACTTCCGACTTAAGGTGGGATATTAGACCAGTATATGCCCGAAGAGCGAAGTGGCTGATATCAGGAGGTCACCTCACCATATATTAGGCTAGTTACGGAATCACAAATAAAACGGCTGTCTATGGGATGAGCTGCCTTTTATGGCCCTGGCGTTTAAAACCCTGCAGGATTTTTTAAAAATAATTTTAATATCATCGATCGACACTTTGTTAGTGATACCCAGAACTGATTCAGGTTACGTTTTACTGTGATTGTGACAGGACAGTAATAATTATGAACAATTTTATACAGTCATTGTAAAAAGAGATTTATTAACACTTACTTACGAACTTATCTAAGAAAATGTGGCAAAGATATGCTTTTATAAACAGTCTTTTTTAAACTTAAAATTAAAATTTCTAAAACAATTACAGTATTTGGATTGCTCTTGTCGAGCTAAAAACCTATGATTATAAAATTTAAGTGGCATGCCGAAATTTTAAGACGAAATTATAAATTTTCACCAATATGAAATGGCTTTATTATAGCTATACGTCTTTAGCATGCTAAATGCAATTTTAAACAAACTTACAAGCAAGCCAGCTCATCCAGGAGTGGCCTGCGCCTCACAGCTGGCGGTCCCCTTGCCCCATCACCCGTTTGACTGAGTTGAACGTTGCGCAGGAGTTCGAGAAGTAACGTCACTCCATCTAGCGGCTCACTCGCGAACTCTTGGACGAAACTGGAAAAGTAGGGAATTAATATTACTTAGCTGTATTTTTTTTTTTTACAATTGACCTGATGTGATAAAATTGGTCTCATTAAGGCCCAAACAGTTCCAGGCTTTATAGATTTTAAACATCACACGTGTAATCTGGAGGTCCTGATTTCTAGCGAAACAATAACTATTTTAGGTCGACTCAAAGTTGATGTTCAGATCAGCTTTTCGGATTATTTTCCCTGCGGATAAATTTCATCACCGGACTTTTAGAACAGTTTTTATAGAACAGGGGGCAAACGGGCAGGAGGCTCACCTGATGTTAAGTGAAACCACCGCCCTGCTGCCGCCGACACTCAATGCGAGTGCGTTGCGTCCTTTTAAGAATTATTGGTACGCTCTTTTCTTGAAGGACCCTAAGTCGAATTGGTTCGGAAATACTTCAGTGGGCAGCTGATTCCAAAAAGTGGTGTTGCGCAGTAAAAACTGACGTCTGTGTGTGACTTCCACCTTGACGTCTGTGTTGACAGAGCGCTTTTTGAGACACTTCTTACCGTGCTTCTCCATTTTTTGGAACAAGCTAGCTTGTCCAGGTAGTTCAGAACCGTTACGACTTAGTGGCCTTCAAGGAAAGAGCGTACCACTCCCTTAAAGGTCGGCAACGCATATCTTCAGACGTCGTAGGTGTCCATGGGCGTATCCAAGGGCTACGAACACTAAGGTTAACTTAGTGCTCGTTTTTTTACACATAATAAAAAAGAGGGTGATGGTGGAAAGCCTGTTTCGTGTGGGCAGCTAGACTCTTCTATTTGACATTCTTATGATTAGAGATACTACTGTTAAAAAACCCTTCTTGCAAAAATTAATCTATTACAATTTAATGATTTAGTTTCATAACCGTTAACCGTCACAATGTTGGCGAATTGATGTTTGTTTATAATAATATTTTTATAAAGTAAAACAAAGTTTCCTAATATCATTATTGTAATGAATATCTACAATTTCATAATTATATCATTTAATACAATAATTACCGTATTATATTTATGCGCAATATAAAATCTATTAAAACGGCAATCAACGCAAATAAGATAATAATACTCGTTCACTTTTAGAGTTATTGCCGTCATTTTATTTGCAATAAATAATTTTATGGACTTTTATAGGCTGCATGACTATAAAACGTCTATAACGTAGTAACAATTTATAGCAAAACTAGCTAATGCTGGCAGCTTCGTAGGATACGCAGAAATAGCGGTATACCTCGACCACTTTTAAGGCTTTTTAAAACGTTTATATCCTATGTAAAGACTGTATCATTAGTCTAACGGGGCGATACCAGCATTCAATTGTTTGGAACTTCAAGATACACTTAAATATATTTCACGAGAACCACATTGCTTTTTATTACAACCAAACAAAAATATTAGAATTTATTCATACTACATAATCTCGTAATTACCACATATAACATATTAAATTAATAAAGACAGAAGTAATGTATGTAAAGCATATTATGCATATATATAATATAAAGCATATAGCATATTATATATAATGAAAGAATTTGATAATATTGTGAGAAAATTAACAATAAGAGCTTGCATGATTATTACCAATTTCAGTAATAAAAAACTAATCAAGATGTTTTACAGAATGTACATTCGTGGTCAACGAGTTTTGTTTTTAAGCCAATACAGCAAGGAATAATGAATTCAGATATCTGAAAGGAGAAAAATAGATGCTCTGGAAATGTGGTGTTGGAGGCGGAAGCTTAGGATTCCCTGGACAGCTAAGGAAACAAACGTGTCCATACTAAAATGAAAATAGTTTTCGACACTTTGTTACCAACGCATCCTGACTTGTTTGGACATGTAACACACCGAGATCCAGAATTTGTTGAAAAACTCATCGTGATCCCCTACTCGCTGCACCGATCAAGTAAAGACCCTTACAGGTCATATCATCACCCAGGCATAGAAGCTTGCCGAAGACGGAGTGGAATAAGTTGTGCAGCGCCACTAACACGACCTTTATAAATGAAGAGTGGGACTGTAGAAGAAGAATGGCAAGGAAATACTGCTAGCATAAAGAGTACCCATAATATAGTAAACCATACTTCTAAACAATAATCAGTACCTCTGTCATTTTTTTAAAATTATTTATTATCTATTCTAGCTAATGGTTTCATTACAAATATATATGCATTAACTACATTACATCCAACCCAAAGTGAGAATTTGAATAAGACCTTACACACTAAGCAAACCAAACCTATGCCCTGCGAGCGTGATTAAAGGAAAAAATGAAAGTGAAATTCCAGATGTGAAGAATGAAGAAAATAATACGTTTGTTGGAATGTCGTAAATTATTTCGCATTGTTTTAAAATTATCAAGTGTTTCTCGAGATGTAAAATAATTGTGCGCAATTTTTGAGCACAAAAACTGATTGCGCTGGGTAAAACGTATGGGCGAAAGCGATTTGAAGCGACATCAATTATAATTCTTTTCTTTGAAGTTCTTAAACTTGATATTTTTTGAAACTATAAAAACACAAATGATAGAATTCGTTATTTTAATTATATTTTTTTTGGAAACATAATTTTTGTTAGAAAACATAAACATTTATTAATTCTTTTATTAAGTATGGTTTCATTGTTTTGAACATTTTCTTTTTTTTAATTTGCCTTTGAGGGAGGAGTTTACTCTTTCTTCAAACAATTGGAAGTCGTATATCCCAGGGTAGACCCCCACCAGGATTCGGTTCCACAGTTCGCTAGTTCACAAAATAATATGTCTTGTGAAGCGGACCGAGGAAGACTTCCAGCCATTGATGGCTGGAATCCCCTTGAGGTACAGTGAAGATAGCGTAGCGAAAAATGGTATGTCTGAGTTTTACTGAAGTAACGGACGAGGGCTGTAGACTGGATGATTATTACTAAGCAACCCGCTTTCGGTTTTGATTCCATTCCAAACGATGATGAGCAACCAATACGCGTGAAGTTCAAAATATTTATGGCCTCAAATATGGGAGTGCTGCTGATGATATGAATTCACTTCGACGATTGGTGACGGTGACGATGGGTGAGCCAAAATCTACAATAAAATGCCACCCCCTATCAGTGGCGTAACTATAGTCTGGGGCCCTATCAGTAAAAATCGTCACGTTGTACTCAGCAGAATTTTAATAAACTTCGAGATTTTCAGCGTACTCAATTACACGTTGTATATGTCCCACTAATGGCCAAAGGCCTCTTCTCTTAGGCGAGAGGGAATGGTTTGTAGTCCCCACGCTAGCCCAATCAATGCGTATTGGAGACTTCACATTCATCCATAGAACATAATATCTCTTGGGTCGGGGGCCCGTGGCATGGCTGGCAAGCCCTGCCACCCTATTGTTACGCCACTGCCCCCTATCTTCTTTTTTAATATATTTTCTTTAGCTAATTTCCTGACTATATTGTCGTATAGATATTATCTCTATCAGAATTCGTAACTCGTATTAAGTACTACTTATTTCTGTTAACAAGTTTTTGTATTATATTTACAGCAAATTTTAGAAAGATGTCTTTTTAGCGTTTGTTATCATTATTTCTTTGATTTGATTTTGTCTCTGTTATTTTTATTCCCATTATTTGTTCAATGTTTCCTATCCGCACCTCTACTATTTATGATACATATAATATATTTAATAATATAATATATTCAAGTTTTTATTCTTATCGACCGGCGTATATGTAACTCTATAAAATATATAATACACATATTTTCATCACATTACACGTATTTTAACTCTTGTAACTTAAACCATACGCCTTAACAAAAATAATGCTTTCCACAAATAACAGATGAACAAATAAAATCATTGCCAGTTCTTGCTAATTGTACAGTAGGTGCTGCCAGCGCAATTTTCTGCACTTATCCGACGTCAATATTATGTGACGTTTATTTTTAGCCAATTTTATATAACTTTAATGAGAGTCATCAAAGAACGCCGGCCTGGACTATTTTAAGATATCTAGAAATATCTTTATGTAGAAACATTTACGTTTTTACAAAACTTTGATATACACGCAATAGTTACCGTTGTGTTTCGCCTTAGTTCAATAATAATCAGTACCAGTTATTGTGTAGCAATTTCATTTAAAATTAAGTTATTCTATTTCTAATGAATTTAGACTGCTGGAGCCCACAAACAAAGGCTCCACCATCACGTGAATGTCGAGGTTATTGGCACCACGGGCCTAGTGAGAAGATAAAAAGGACAAACCATTTAAATTAGTGAATTTGTGTTAGTGCACGTTAGAATTAAGTCCTAAACAGTGGTAAGTGAAATCATAGAACACAACAACAGAGTTCCCTTTAATAGAGACTGTAAGAAGTGTTATTGGAAACTTTCTTATGTTAAATATTAGTAACGGCAGTGTTTCCTTACGTGGGGTTCACGCCCCACAGGGGGCAATTTGATTATCAAGGGGCTATTCGAAAATAATTAAAATTATTTTAAGTTTGTATTTTAGTTTTCCATTATATTTAGAAAATTTACTTACAGTGTTTCAGTAACTATTCCCTTTTAATTTGGGAAACCTATAACTTAAGTTTTCTTTATTGAAAAATTAAATGTTTTAATATTAAAAATAATGTATGTTTATTTTTTTTTATTATTACTATGTAGGTTAAGAAAATTGTAAATACTGTATATTTTATTGTTATTACTATTAAATATTATTATTTGTATGTTACATATCATAAATAGAAGAGATAAATAAAAAGGCTAAGGTGGGGCAGGGCATAAATAGGTTGGGAGACACTGTTATAAGGAAATGTTAGAATTCGGTACGCATTCAGAGGACTCTCTTAGTAATATTACAGTGACTTGTAGGACATAATGGACCATATATTAAAGAATGGTATAATTTGCTTAAGCAAAAGACTTTTTTTAAATATATTTTTTTCACTAAATCCCCGACTATGTTGTCGTCGGAGGTATTAAAAAACTAACGTAAATGTATAACTTAAGTAAATGGTAATGGTAATACGGATGATAAAGCACTACCTATTTCTTTTAACAACTTTTTGTATACACCAAATTCCAGAATCTTCTCTTAACGTATTGTTGCACATTATTCTGTTAAGTCTCTGTCTTTTATTTCCATAGCTTTTTCAGTGTTATACCTGTCGTATTTATTAACAGGGTCCGAATAAACAACCTCAGGGTTGAGACTCGCGTGCCTGACTACTGGGCTGACTGATTAAATGCTTGTCCAAAGAGGAGAATTTTAGTCAATTGCTAACACGTTCTTTACAGCTCGAAACATCTTAAACCGTTACGTTTTACGATTTATGGACAAATAGTTTAGTAACAACTCTGTGTCAAGATTTACTGTTAAATAATTGTTTAAATGTGTTGGTGATATATACTCTTGTTTCCTTTTATTTTGGAAATATTTACGTTATTATTTTTTCTACATTGGTTTAAGTTACAATTTTTACTCTAAGTTATCTCTATATATATCAAATTCTCGTGTCACAATGTTCGTTCCCATACTCCTCCGAAACGGCTTGACCGATTCTTATGAATTTTTTAATGCATATTCAGTAAGTCTGAGAATTGGCTACTATCTATCTTTCAAACCCCTAAGTTTTAAGGGATGTCCACCCCATTTTGTTTTTATTTTTTATGATACAGCATACAAAAATACATACAACCCCTATTTTTCACCCCTCTACGATCAACCCCTATTTTTTAGTATAGTAGACAGTTATTTTTGTTGAACTAAAAAAATGTTACCTAGAAATAATATACATGGCAAAACAAAGTTTGCCGGGTCAGCAATAGTTTATTTATAAAAATAAACAAGTTTTTGTCGTTTAAGGCGCCACCCCGCATATCATTGAATTTAATTAATATTTAAATCACCAACTCAGGTAATACGTAATGAGTACGTCACCACTACATCAAGTAAATTGCAAATACTTACCTAGGAAATGAGAGCCTTAGATCTGCCCTGAGCTTCGTGAGTAACTCACTCGGTGAGCAGAATTGACGAAGGCTCATTTCTTCGCCAACACCTAAGCACGGATTCCTGAAAATAAATATTTTATATTGAATTATTCGCAAACTTAAGTTCTTAACTTCGATATAAGCTCTATAGATATTAGGAATTTATAGAGTACCAACTCAGCTTTGTGCAACTCGCATGTAAACATTTTTGAGACTGATACATAAGTCAATTCTGAATTTTACCCTATTTTCTAAGTGATAGAATTCCGGACTTCTGTTAAGTTTTCAGCGCCAAGTTGCGACATCAAATATATTTTAGTGTTGATAATACTCAAATATTTAGATACAATATTCTTAACCTACAAAGTAATAATAATAATTGAAAATGGACAAATAGAAAAGTAAAACTTTTAAAAGTTTGGTCCCTGAGGCATATTTGATGTAATGAAAAGAGAAAACAATGTTATAAAAACGTCAGAATCGAATCCCTATTGAGAATTACAGAGTACTGATGCTGCGTCAGTGAACAGCTGTAAACTTAGTGAAATTCATAAGCTAATAAGTGGTTGTTGGAAAGAGATCACTCGAAAGCTATAAAACCGCCCGTTTCTTTCTATTGAATTATACCGTATTTCTTGCAACGAAGAGTATATAAAAAATAAGTTGTATCAACTAAGTTATACCTGAAATCCTTACTGCCCTGGCTGGGCAGGGTTCTCGCCTTATTGGGGTCCTGACCTGGGTCCACATCGTATAAGTTTCCCCCACTCGTCTTCTTGCCCCATTTCTTGAGAGATGTTGCGTAGTCTTCTGGATTGTATATTGGTGGTCGTTGCTTTTCCTGAAAAGTAAAAGAAAATATTTTAAAACGTAATTAATATTTTGGCTTAGTCTGCAATGATAAGTTTTCATAAGTAAATAATTTAGAGTATATAATAACAATCATAAATGATATATATGCATTCGATTTTTATTTACAATATATACACTTGGCGTCAAAAAAATCGCACCTTTCTTAAAATTCGTGTCAAGCGATTATAACTTCTAAGATCCTTCCTGTACCCTATCATTATTAGTATCATTTAAAAGCTCAATTAATAAGCTTTCAAAAAAATAATCATTTGTTTACGGAAAATCAAAAACCACAAATCATCAGCACTTTGATTAAAAAGTGGCGATGTACGCGTTTGGAGGCTCACTAATTGTACCACCCTGGACGCGTATATAACGAGGGGGTAAAAGTCAATGATGGGTTATTCGCTATTCAGACGTCACAGAGGTCACTCCTAAAGAGCTTCAACAAGAAAAAACCCAGTGAAAATGGATACCATGGCAAAGAAGCAGCTCAAGTGGTGGCCCTACTGCAAATCGGACTACGGCAGGTTGAAGTTGCTCGGCAACTGAAAATCAGCCGATTTCGAGTGCAACGGGTATACCAACGGTTCAAAGAGACTGGAGGTTACATCAGGAGACATGGATCCGGGAGACGTCGCTGCACTACCGTCAGAGGTGATCGCTCCATTGTGTCAACGTCTTTGCGGAACCGCTTCTTCAACGCTGTGGAGCTGCATCAGCGGCTTTGAGCTACTCGAAGGACAGCTGACAGCGTCTCCACTATCAGAAGAAGGCTGTGAGAGAAGAATTTGCTGCCCCGGAGAGCTGCTACAGGCCCCCTATTGACTACCATCCACCGGACGAAAAGGAAGCGATTTTATGAAACGCACGTGCCGTGGACATTCGACCATTGAAGGAATGTCCTGTTCTCCGACGAAACCCGAGTGTACGTGTACACCAACAACATGCGTAAGAGAGTCTACAGGCGGCCAGGGGAGCGTTTCACACCAGCCTGCACCGTGGAAACCGTCGGGTATGGAGGAGGATCCTGCATGTTCTAGGGCGGTATTTCTATCGACGGCAAGACAGACCTCGTGTGCGTCTCCAGAGCTGGAGAAAGTCGCGGCCAGGGGTCTCTGACTGCCCACCGGTATATCACCGAAGTTTTGGAGTAGCATGTGGTCCCATGTGTAGGTTTTGTCGGCGCCAACTTCAAGTTCATGCACGACTACGCCCGGTTCCACACAGCCTTGATTGTCGAGGACTACCTACGTCGAGTTGGCATCAAGGTTATGGACTGGCCAGCAAGAAGCCCCGACCTCAATCCTATCGAGCACCTCTGGGACGAGTTGAAACGGCGAGTTCGGGCCCGTAATCCAGCTCCTGCCACTCTCGATGAGCTTCGAGATGCCGTCATCGAGGAAAGGGACAACATTCCCCATGAACACGTCGTGACGCTCATCAGGTCCATGGCTGACCGCTTGGAAGCTGGTCGGAGGGATAGAGGAGGCAACACTAGGTTGTAAGACTAATTTTTAAGGATTGTCATTGTTTATTTTTAATTTTTGTATTGTTCCTTTTATTTGTAATTTTGATCAGAATACACATTGTTTCACATTTTCCCAGAATTTTCTTTTTCTATGGGGGTGGTGGCCAGTTTCCTACTGTTTTCAAATAAGGGATTACATTAGCTTTCAAATGATACTAATAATGATAGGGTACAGGAAGGATCTTCGGAGTTATAATCGCTTGACACGAATTTTAGGAAAGGTGCGATTTTTATTTACAATATATACATAGAATGTAGAATGAGCAGTGTTGGCCTAGTGGCTTTAGCGTGCGACTCTCATACCTGAGGTCGTAGGTTCGATCTCCGGCCAATGGACTTTCTTTCTATGTGCGCATTTAACATTTGCTCGAACGGTGAAGGAAAACATCGTGAGGAAACCGACATGTCTTAGACCCAAAAAGTCGACGGCGTGTGTCAGGCACTGGAGGCCTATTAGATTTAAAAAAATGATTATGAAACAGATTCAGAAATCTGAGGCCAAGACCTAAATAAGTTGTAGCGCCACTGATTTTTTTGTATACATAGAATGTTTATCTAAATTTAATTCAAATCATTTCAAAACCTGTAAATATATATAACATGAAGCTGTTGCGTTTTATGTAGTTAAGACTAAAAACGCGACTGTACGTTAAAAAGCTTTAGAAGGCGAATATTCAATTAATAGCATATTTTAATACTATCATTGCCATAAATTCAAAGTTCGTTATCCGAAATACAAACTGTTTTTAAGTTTACTATATAATTTTCTCAATATTGTTGGTCATTTCCTATATCTAATATAAATAATACGGTGAAGTCAAATTGTTTTCACATTCACTATTACATTATAAAGTAAACAAATAAAAACAATAGCACCGAAATGGCGGCAAAACTTCGCCACGCTAGCGCTGTCACAGAGTAAAAATTATAAAATGCCATAGAGTGCACATCTCTACGCACATTTATGCATTTCAATAGCAAAAATAATAAATAGAAAACCTCTTTGGTTTTTTGCCGTTCTATTATAATGAAACTACTACTAGTACTAGACTCTTGTGGTGTGTACGTAAGTGTTGTAGCTTTTCTTAGAATATTGGCCGTCAACCTGTTTAAGTGAAGATAAGATACCAATTGTGCTACTGTAGTCCTTCGTACGACCACATAAATTCTAATTAAGTTACCGTGTTCTCCGAAACTGATAAAACTATATTTGTTTTATTACTGGCTTACTTTTTAGTCACCTTGGAATTGGGGAAAAATATTTGAAATATGTCATCTGTATACTTTTATTTTAATGTAGACATAATTTTCTTTGTTTTAATTAAAAAATGGACAACTTCTTTCTCGCAAAGATTCTTTGGTTTCCTAGGCTGTTACTTGTATAATAAATTAAATGAAAAAATTAACATTTACCCACTACCCAAATATGAATGTAAAAAAAAGGTTACTACTTGGCTGAAGACGTTGAGTTATGATGAAACAGAAGATCTAATAACTGTTATTCTGTAACACACCCACTCCCCCACACATATACACACACCCACCCACGCCACACACACTTAGAGAGAGAGAGAGACACACACACATACACACACACACAAACACACACCAAATTTATTTTTAAGACTCCGTTTGCAATGTTTTCTTTTAGCACTTAATACTTATTTTCTTCTATTGTATTTTATGACAATGACATGATGGTACGTGTTCCGGTCCGGTGTGGAGAGGCTTGCTATCTGTCACTCAGGTCTCCTGTTACAGAGACCAGTCTCTCACATACACTTCCTAATGTTATCATCTTAGTTTAATCATAAAAACCTTGTATGTATATGTGAGAGAAGAAAATAAAGATTATTATTATTATTAATATTATTATTATATTATTTGTAGAAATGTATGTGATTTTCCAGGCCTATATTAGTCTTTTGTAATTTCTAGTCTATGATATTGATTGTATTTGTACGATTGTAATAAACAAGTACAACAGTTGACAAATATGGGAAAAGACGCGATTAAAAAAAAGTGAAAATTAAGAGAAAATATGACTTGGCTTTAATGTCTCGTTACCAGGCCATAACCCCTTTAAAAAAGTTAAAATTTCAAACATTATAACTATTAATTTATTGCCAGTTCTTCTCTTCCGTTCTACGCCCTTGACTTGAGAAATGGCGAGTATATGTAAAATTAGAAGTATTTAGTTTATCCTTTTTTTAATGTTCATACTGTGTACACTCATTGTGTTACCTATATGATGAATAAATGATTTCGAATTGAAAATTGAATCGAATTAACATTTTTAACATAACATTTAAACATTTATTACGAACCAAACACACCAAAATAATAATAATCAAAAAAGAAAAATAATAAAAAGGAATAAGGTACATTTTTAGTGTGTAATTTGTGTGTGTTGTGGTAGTAACTAGCCCTGGCTCAGCATTATGCTGTGGAGCAGATGTTTTCCGCAGCGCTGGTCATTCCGCCAGAGACGAAAAAAAAGGAAAAATAAATAATAATAATAGTAAAAATTAAAAAAAGTAAACAAGTCTTGAAAGATTTGTGTGTAAAAGTAAATAGTAAATAAAAAAGAATGATTTATATTTAAAATGTAGTAATAACAGTTTCTTTTAGATTTTTTACTAATAAATAATGAATGTTCAATGTTTAATGGTGCAACAACACATAGAACTCTCGTTGTTTCATTAATTGATTATATTTTTCCTTTCTCACCGAATATTTCTGTGTCGTATTTCATATTCAAAATGATAACCAATCTAAGAAGCACTCAATGATGAACGTGGGAATGGTAGGCTTAACAATAGAAGTCAATATATAGGTGAAATCGTACCACTGCATTGTTGTTGGGGAAAGTATTGGCTATAGAAACGAACATATCTTCGTATATACTGGTAATGGCCAAGTACATAGACATAACTATTATTTATACTAAATATATGAGCAGTGTTGGCCTAGAGGCTTCAGCGTGCGACTCTCATACCTGAGGTCGTAGGTTCGATCCCCGGCTGTGCACCAATGGACTTTTTTTCTATGTGCGCATTTAACATTCGCTCGAACGGTGAAGGAAAACATGAGGAAACCGACATGTCTTAGTCTCAAAAAGTCAACGGCGTGTGTCAGGCTGATCACCTACTTGCCTATTTAGTACTACTAGATTCAGAATCTAGTAGTACTAAATAGGGTCTAGGATAATCTGAGACCAAGACTTAAAGAGTTTGTAGCGCCACTGATTTTTTTTTTATACAACAACCGCCACCACTATTTTGTTTTGGACGGACGGCGTAACAGCATTATAATCCAACATATATAATGTGGCAGGAAGTCATTTAAACTGTAGTCAATTGCTTTCCTAGTAGCATTATTAGAAGCGTTGTAAACGTAAGACAATATGAACAGTATTTGCATATGCTGTGTTTTTGAAGTGAAACTTCTTTAGGCGCATGAGGGAAATTTTTTACGAAAACGTCACGAAGATTTGCAGCGTTTTTGGCGAAAAGGGAAAGAGCGTTTGAGACCGATTGATAGAGAATGAGAAGGGCGAATTACCTCTATTTTTAAAATTAAAATTTCGTAAAGAGTACGCAAAATATTTTTTTGAAATCTCAAATGACGAATTGTAAATTAAAATGCCACGTGTTTTTATTATCAAAGAAATTAAAGTTATAATTTGTATTAATTTTCGAAAGTTTAATTTAATTCCTAACATATTATGTTCCTTTTTCATTCCCTCTAAGTCTCGGAAATCTAAAGTTTTAGATTTGTATAAATATGAACAAGACTTAAAAAATTAGTTTGCCAAAGAAGTTTCACTTCTGACATGTGTGTTTTGTACGCACGCACTTTTTTAAAAAAACAGGGGTTAAACTAGAACCAGGTGCCCTTCCATGTTCCTGCCTACAAGACTCGTGATCGTGCTTTGTTTCACGTTCCTCACATCAACCTGGTTGGCGTTTGCATTGGCGCCTGGTAGACAGTACCGGTGACCCTAGAGCTGGCACTTTCCTGGCTCAAAGAATAAGTCTCGCAATACAGCGAGGAAATGCTGCCAGCGTTAAAGGTACACTGCCACAGGGAACAATCTTTTTAAAATTGTTTTATTTTCTATTTATCAATTTTTAATTATTATTATTATTACTATGTATATTTGTGTTTTGGAAATAAATCATATTACAGCTAAGAACATTTAATTCAATAAATAAAAAAATAAAGCTCTTCCTATATGCAAGAAGAGAGTCACTTCTCGTAGGTACACGATCCAGGAGTGTAAAAGCCAAACATGTTATTATGATTTAAAAATATCTGTTCTAATTCTCACTGCACACGTTAGATAGAAGCGATTTATATTCGTTTAAAAGATTTTATTAAATATTTTGTTTTTTAAGTTTCTGTGCCTTATATAGGATTAAGCGGGATTCAAACGTGATTCTATTGAATTAATAAATTAATGTTTCTATTAGTATTGCTAAATAATATAAGTTGTTTATTTACACACAACAATTTGAAGTATTGCCGACATTCATATGCTACATGCTTATTATTCAGACTGCATATTAAAACAAAACATTTATTCGACAGGAACAGAATGTGTTAACATTGAAAAAACAACAGTAAAATGACAGATGGAGATACAACTTCTTACTCATCACGAAATGTCAATGATTGGGCGTCAGATTTGATGGAGAAAATTCTGAGTAGACCCCAGTTGGTGGCATCTCAATTGCATTCATTGTAGATTTTAGAGGTGTTAAAGAAATAAATTTTAACATCTCTTGAAAGAAGATTGTGTATAGTCAACTTATTAATGATTATGTACGTATATAGTGCTGTTTTTCTATGTAGAATACTGAGACTTTGTTTCCGAAAAATTCCTTTACATGTTGTGGAATGACCTACATGGGGATAAAAAGCGTTAAAGTAAAGAACGTCATCAAAATAATAAAAAAAAACATGCTGGACCCCTATTTAACTAACACCACGGGCCTAGTATGAAGATTGAAAACGACAACCTCAATCGCATAAGTCTTAGTGCACGTTACGCTGGCCATAGACGGACCGCATTTTGCAGTCGATACCGACTGCTCTAAGCGATCGCCGCACGGCGAATTGCAGTTTCCATACTAAATTCATATCCGCCATACACGGACCGCACGACAAGTTTCTGAGCGGTCGGAGCAGTCGCTCTGCGGTCGAGTTTCGCCGTGCGGTTGACTGCTTAGAGCTGCCGGACCCACCATACACGGACAGCTACAAGCGGTTGCTGCCGACCGAGCGCCACTCCCTCCAATAAGATAAAATACTAACTAATTCATGAAATGAAACCACGGACATTTTAAAGTAGTTGAAAAACTTTTTAGTGTCTTTTCTCAGCTGGGGATACAAAGTGTCAAATATTCCATGCTGTTCTCTTGATTGTAGTATTGGACGAATCCACATGATAAGGTGTCTTCTATGCCTACGGTTGCGTAGTACAAGAAACAGTGTTTCTTCATCGAAATCCATCTTATAAATGAACTCGCATCAGTTTTATTTTGCGGTCGAACACAACTGCTCGAAGCAGTCGTGTGCAGTCGTGTACGACTTCAACGCGACCGCTCTAGAGCAGTCGGTCTCGACTGCAACATGCGGTCCGCCTATGGCCAGCGTTAGTATTGTTATTGGACACTTTCTTATGTTAAATATATTTTTTAGTAAACTAAGTTAGTTTTAAATTACTCTTTAGGCTTAAGGCTAGATCGTAATGTTAAGTTGTGACTATATGCTGAGGCAATTTATAAAAAAAACATATGTTTAAATTTGTGTGTGCTCAAAATTGAATTTTAAAAGTATTTAATTTATTTTATTAAAATACCTTTGATATTGGTTCCTCGCTCCATCCCGCACAGTTGGCCATACCTTCCAGTTGTGTCAGCTCACTGAAATTGAAGAATCATTTATTATAATTTTACTAAAATCAATATAAATTTATAAAATAATTTCACAACGACCCATATAAAATTCAATCATGTATTATTCCATTCAAAACGCATAAAGACGAAGCGGTCATACATTACGTTGTGTTACATAGTCGTGTCGGGTCATACATTCGTCATATAATGCTTAACGGTACAAGGTAGTATATCGGGGAAGAAATATTTGAAATATGTCATCTGTATACTATAATGTATTAATGTAATGTAATTTTACAAACCAGAATGTCGTCTTATTAACTTTTCGGTTCCACCCGGGAATCGAATGTAAGACCACACGATTTGCTGTCGAACGTGCCTAGATGACAATAATAATAATTCAATTGAATCGAGGCGCCTGTTCCGTCTACAACGCACGCTTCAGTCCACCCTCATAACTTTGACCATTTATAATAAATACATTTCCTTTGTGGGAAGGTAATTAAATTTTATAATGGTAATAAAATGTTGTTTATTATCAGTATAAGTGGTCGGCATTTCTTGACTATATAGGAACTTTTATTTGAAAGTTCTGCGTCTAAATAGTTTGTAATACAAGTCTGCAATGTTGGCCTAGTGGCTTCAGCGCACCACCCTGAGGTCATGGGTTCGAACCCCAGCTGTGCATCAATAGACTTTCTTTCGTGCGCTTTTAACAACCCTCATGTTAAGGAAAACATCGCGAGGAAACTGTGAAAACCCAATAAGCCGACGGCATGTGTCAGGCACAGGAGGCTCACCCACTTGCCTATTAAATTTCTTGATCATGAAACATATACAGAAATTTGAGGTCCAGATCTAAAAAAGGTTGTAGCGCCACTGATTATTTTTTTTATTCATTATAATAGTTTGTTTCTACTAAAGAAAAACATATTTCCTGATACAACATTCAACTCAGAAGCAAATCCGTCGGTGATATTCCCAGGTGTACTATTAAGTTACTTAAATTATAATTCTATTTTAAGTTATTTCTTTATTAAAGTTCATCATATATAATGCTTTATCTACAGTACATGTTACAAGCTATATATTCTATATATATTCTAAAATACATGAAAATTATGGTAAAAATTCCTTCCAATTTTAGATTTTACTTGTAATTTTTGAGTTAGCAGAACATCTACATAACGAAGCGTATGTTATAAAAACAGGAGATCATTCGTCTCAATATGTCATGTACCGTAATGCGATCCGAACCATTACTGTTTTTATAGAAAGGGGAAATCTTTTCCGTTCGCTATGGACAGTATATATAGGAAGTATTTGTATAAACAGAAGCGATATTCATTGGTATTATTATCACATTGGGTTACGTTATCGAAGTTTCATACTAACTTTTTTGAAAATATTCCATATCTGTAGTTCATCAGGAATAATGCAGTATTTCAATGGTGAAAGAATTTTTCAAATCGGTCATGTAGTTTTAGAGCCTAATGCAAACTAACAAAGAAATTTCTTTATTATTGGTGTAGAATCCCCATTTGTCGCACTTACAGACTTTAGACGTACAGACTGCAAAGACAAGAAGTGGAATTTTATAACGGTAGCAATATTGTTTTGTAACACCGTAAAATCTATAATCGACTATAACTGTAACATGAAGCGAATAACAATAATTATTTCCGTAAAGGTGAATTTGAAGAAAATCTTATTGAAATTATTAATCAATTTTTACGCTTTTTTTTAATCGGTTATTTACAGAAAAGTAAATGTTTATTTAAGATTCTCTTTGATGTTTTTTATTTCACGTAATAAATTCACGGGTAATTACTAAGGTATGGTAAATAGAATACAAGAACAGCCCTGCGATTCTGTAACTCACTTTTCGAACTCACTCAGCGGTTTTCGCATCGGCGGTCGCTCTGAAATCAGTCGTGAAGCAGTCATTTTATGATTTGGCATTCTAATAAACAATAAACTACAAGCTTCCACCTTTTCAGAATGCCAAATCATAAAATGACTGCTTCACGACTGATTTGAGAGCGACCGGCGATCCGAAAACCGCTGTGTGAGTTCGAAAAGTGAGTTACAGAATCGCAGGGCAGGAATAATAATTGAAATGTCCAATGTTGTCACAAAGACACGATATAAAGATCCGATTTAAATATAATTTATTTTATGGAATAGGAGTTTAAATTATGATGTTGTCTTGGCGCCCTCTAGACAGAGCTGGTGTTCTCAAAGCCGGTGTCTCTTTCAAAGTTTAATAACTGCAATACCGCGAGAAAATTCTGCCAGCTTTGAGATTCTGCCACAAGAAATCTTTCCCTTAATTGAGCCTGTTAGTAGTGTAGTTTTCTGCCACAGACTAAACATTTTCAAATTTTAATTTTAATTTATTATTAGTTAAGGTTAACATTCCAAATTTAGTTTCATTTTTAAATACCCTTCGTATGACTATGAGGTTCCAAAAACTAACACAGACAGCGCACGCTTATTACTCTCAGCCACTCTCAAATACAAATACAGAGATAATACACACAAATTCTAATGCCCATACATTCACGCATACTTAAAGTATACCTTTTGATTGATTAGATGTAACACAGAGACTTGATATTGAATTGTCTTTGGTATAACTAATCAAAAGCAAAGATGGACAGATAGCGGGGAAAAACTGGATGAATGTTGTTAAAGACAAAGAGAAATGGAAAAATATGGAGGAGGCTTTTACCCTAAAAGGGGCCATACAAAAACTAGACCACTAAAAAAAAAAAATAATCTAACCTAAAATTTTCAAAACTTATAGTAACACAACTAATACTAATTAAAGAATGTAAACTAACCAATTGTTGTATGGATTAATAAAGCTTTAATAATAATATAACGAATCAGCGTAACAACTAAACCAGCTTTAATGTTAGTAGAAGTAATTTTTTTGTTTGTGATTTTTAATCGTACTTTCTTATTTTTCTTACTACGAAATTTATTAAAAATTTGAAAAAAAAATTGAGTTGTATTTTTCAACAAATTAAGTCTAATTTATGGGTTAAGCATATTATGCACTTAATTCAATTTTAAAGCCGTTCGCGACTTATATGTTCGATCATTTAATATATTTACTTAATATCATTAGACAGGCGTAAAATAACATTAATTTTACAAACGAAGCAATAAAAATATGAATATTTGAATTCGGAAGTCAGCCTCTTTACATTGAATTAACCTGCTTTTATCTCGGCTAAACTTCCTCGTGATCTATTGACAAAATTGTGTAATATTTTGTTGAATACGTAATTTGTTTGCAGTTTCCGAAGTTTCCTAATTTTAGGATGTATTTTGTTTAATCTAATATAAGCCAATTGATTATATCTTACTTATGTAAGTGTATATTGTGGTTCCTTTACCAATGTATCATTGTGCCGAGCGTTGGCAAGCTTTTATCAATAAAAAAATCGAAATACTCGACTATCAATACTTTCAGGTAAAATCTTACCTTCTATGTAGTGTGGAGGTTTTGATAAAGCGTAACAGTTATGTCAGAAAGATGGACAGATGACGTAATAGAACTAGCGGGGGAAAACTGGATGTATGTTGCTCAAGAAAAGAAAAAAGAAGAGGAGGAAGAGATTATTTAGGAGGATATTTTTACCCTAAAATAAAAATACAGGGCCTATACAATTACAACACAACTAACTTCTTATATTAAGAAATGTAAACTTAACAATGATTGTATGAATTAATTAATAAAGTTTTAATAATAATAATAATAAACAGTTATTTGACTGAGGCCTTGGTAGAATGCTGTGTTTAAGGAACACGTGGTGGTTTACTGCACCCCCTAGGTTTTTAATAGCATTCTAGTGATAATCGAACCCCCACATATCTGCTACTTTTGGTAGATGGAGTGGAACCTTGCAAATAAAAAAAAATAGATCTTGGTGTATGTTTATGTGACTTATAAGCTATTTTAGAAATAAAAATGTATTTTTAACTTAGAACTAATCACCCTTTTTTGTTGCAGGGAATGCGCGGAGTGTGGGAGTCGCTACCTACTAAACATCTTCATTCACAAATGTGAAAATTTGAGGTCATATCAGGCATTTTATATAGCATTGTTATCACATTAAATACCTAGAAATTTAGTAATATTAACAAAAATATAATAAAATATATCTGTGCAAGACATACATTATCAGATTTTGGTTTTAAAACGTACGCTTCACTTTTTAAACACACAAATTAACACACAGAGGTTTGTGTGTATTTTGTTAATACTTCGATTGGCAGCACAGCAGTCATCTGTCAAGTGTCAGATGACATAGCGGTGCGCGGCTAAAAGTTTAAAAACGTTGCAAACGACTGCTAGGTAAATACTCGCAAAATATCACGATATCATAATCCTAAGTAGAACTTAATACGGTGCTTATAATTTTACCAAATTTATAACTGTCGGTACTTTTACTTTTATAACCCAGAAATATACTTTCTCAATTCGTCAATCTGTTTATTTTACGGTTGTGATTCGGATAATGGCGACCACAAAATATTAATTATTTAAGTCAAAATCAATGAAAGTAATAAAAGAAAGTTAAAATTGAACACAATTGTAACAGAAATACTATGCCTATATTATTTTTCGAGCCCCCAACGCAAAATTTATATTAAAAATAATAATTGTTTTTATTTCCAAAATACATATGTTTGATCGAAAATTGGGAACACACATGTATGCTGGTACTCGAATTGTAATATTATATAATATATTTTTGAGTCCTTATTAATATTTTTTTAGGGATCAGAACCCGAAGCAATGCTGGAAAACGATCCCAGGACCTCTTAATGAATTAAAAGTTTTTATGGTGTACTATTAATGAACTATTGTGAGATGTTTTTTTTAAACGGAAATGCGAAATTCCTTCCTTTTTTTAATTCTATCTGGCAAAGCCAGCGTACTGGTTGGTTCAAATAAAAATTGTCTATGACGTTGGGAAAATATCTAAGC